CTCTCGCCTCTCAGCAAGAAGGCCTTTCTGAGTGGAGTTTGCATGTTCTCCCCGTGTCTGCGTAGGTTTCCTCCGGGTACTCCGGTTTCCCCTACCACTAAAAATATGTACAATAGGTCTGGCATGCGCCTCCTGTACTGGCGACCCTGCTCCCATCTCTGTGTGGAGTGAGAAACAAAATGCCCAAAATTAACAATTGTAAACCGCTCTGCAGTGAAAAGGCGGTATATAGATAAAGATTACTACTACTACTAAAAAATGTATACTTAGCTAAAGCATATCAATAATCAATTGCGTGAGAAAGTATCACGATACATGCCCATATTGATATATTGTCACATAGTGTATTCGTAACACTGTAAAGCACAATTATGCAAGTCAAGAGAGCAGTGCCACCCCAAATCATTTAACACGGCCGGTAATGTGATTAAAGTGAACAGCAAATATGATCACGGCGGCGGGGATTTAGAAAAACAATCATGGATTAGTTTATTAATTTGCTAAACAATTTTGAACAATACAATACTATCCGAATGAAAATTTGAGAGTGGACGACACAATGCTTCAGTTGAAATAGAATTTGACCCCACAATGAAAAGTAACACAAACTTTTGGGTCAACAATAAATGCTATTTATTATTTTGATATAATAAAATAATATGTGTGGTCTTTTATAGCAGTCCTGAAGGAGTGTGATTAGGATATTCTATCAATTAATATTGTGGGTATTGATTTTTCGACAAGCCTGGCTTCACTTTTACAGGTTCTACAGTGCGATGAGACTGGAGGGAGTGGAAGAGGCTAACATGATTCCATAAGTGTGCCAGTGTGTGAAGGAGCAAACGAGTACCGTCCTGAAATGTGATCAGTCAGGCTGAGGGGGCAGAAAACAGCGGACGTCTCTAGAGAGTCGCGTGTGTGCAATCTGCATTTGTTTGGCTTATACTGAGCAAAACAGAACACACTGTTTAATAAACCATATGTACAGTAGCAAACAGTGCTTTCAATGTTGCTGTGGATGCACAAATAAACACACATAGTGTAGGTTTGCCAAACCCAAAGAAATAAATTACATAGAATGGTTTTTATTTAAAAAAAATTGTTAGGAAGACAAAACATCTATTTTGACAATAAACGTGGGTCCAGAGGATCTATGCAATTTGACTGAGTATTTGATTGATAAAGAACAGGCACATTTTTCCTGATCTTCAACTGAAAATTGTTTGTCTATTGCCTGTGAATAAATTTGAACCATTTTTGACTTTTTTCTCAAAGCCTCAGGCTAAGGACTAAACGTATGTCACCCTTTTACCCTTTCATCAGCAGGACAGTGAGCAACTGTTGTTTCTAAATCAGTCCATGGGAGTGCGCCAATATGACTATGCAGACTATGCCCACCTCCTCAGTACACCTCCTGTGTGTGTGTGTGCGTGTGTGTGTGTGTGTGTTTGCACTGCAAAACGTCAATTTCAAGAAAGTACAAAAAACAATATGTTGCTGAATTTAAAAAAAATAAGCAATTAAGCAACAACAAAAAAATACACATCTAAGAACAATCTTTTAATAAGCAATTCCACTTATTAATTACAATGAATGTGTGTGACACGGACACAGTATAATTAAGGATCCCTTTGTAATACTGTAATGTAAAGGTTCTGGTGGATTAAAGGTGATCCTAACTGCCTGGCCTCCCAGCAAGAAGGTCGCAGATCCGAATGGGTGGCTTTGCTCTGGGTTCGGGTTTCCCCAAAAGATGCACTGTAGTAAAATCCTCCAGGGAAGATCAAACTAATTTAACGTAAGAAAAGGGCTGCTAAGATGAGCAGAATACAAGCAAATGTACACACATTTCTTCTTGTTTTTGACACATTTTGTATTCACTAAATCTTTTTGTTTTACGATTCTAAGATTTTCTTGCCACTTTTTCTATGACACAATTTGTTTTGCTTAAAACAAGAAAAATAAATGTGTGTGTGCGCGTTTGCGTGTGTGTAAGCTGGGATGAATCAATGAACCTTCTCCTTATGTGAAAGGGGCAGAGCATGTTAAGAGGCACAGCGTGGGTGGTCAAATGGAACAGGAATATTACACTTGAATCTCTGAGCAGACGCCATGTCTTACAGTAACTTAGACGTAGTTTGCAGATAAAGCTGAATCTGTAGCTGCATCTGCCTGAAGCTGTGTCGGTCTGTATCAACAATATTGATTATTGTCAGTAGAACATTTATGAAAAACAAAACATTGTATGAACTAGGAAGCAGCTGTTTATTTCCTTTAAGAAATAAAACCTCTTTTAAGCAATACATACTTACAAATTAACAACAATTCAAGTTCATTAAGGGTTGTGGACTCTCTCAAAAATGTGTATCCAGTAGTTTGGATCGAGCAGTATTTCCTCTCATCTAATAGTGCTATCAATCTTTTCTAGTGATATCATAGTTAGTTTGAATCACTTTCTATGAGCCAGCGACTAAAATGCAGACAGTACAACTGCTTAAACACTACATTCCTGAACTACAGCTATAATTTATACTTGACTCAAAAGCCAAACATTGCATGGCATTCCCCTCCACATTAATATGCGTGGGCACATGATATAGTCACAAACCTTAGCACGCAAAACAGAGAGCAGTTCACCATAGTAACATTCAGAATGCTCTGCTGTAAATCTGTCCCAGCAGCAGAGAGGCCAGGGGCTCCATGACAAGAAAGTGGGTACAAAACGACACTATTCACCAGCATTTTGTACTTATTCATTGTATGAGAAATATTTGAGAGGAGTATAAAGGCCCCGCTATCACTTTGCTACAGCGACATGGGGCCAGTGCAGGGTAGTCAGGCTTAAAAAGGGAATGTGCATATACAAAGATAACCTCCTAAAACAAAACACAAAACACAATGAACAGCTCCAAGGGCACCCAGAGTACCCATGAGAGCAAACTGCAAAGTCCTATTAACCAGGCACCTCCTCCTTTTCAGGAATATAAAAGGCCCATGTAGGTATAAAATGGGGGGAAGCCCTGGTAATATACAGTATGTGACAAATTGAACATGCTCTTATTTTCTGGTAATTGCGTTACCTGTGGCTAAATCTGTGAATATATTGCAATTTTAAAGAAAGTTGCATCAAAACAACTGTAAAATCAATGTGCAGTTGTTGCAGTCAAAAATGTTTTCCTGGACAAGTGCTATTGCTGCACGTCACAGCATGTTAGCTCTGTCCCCAAAGGGAAGAGACAAGCAAGGTCATGGTGCCATGTTCTTTCAGCTGCAATCTCTGCTTTTGAGAGCTATCTCTTCCCTGCACTTGACTCATGACTTAGTGCATCTATTTTGTTTTATTGGATGTGAAGTGAGTCTTGTTATTTGGTCTCCTTCCACAGCTCCACACAATGCAGCAGTGGCTCCCTGTGATGCAGTAAACGGATCAATATAAGGTCTTGAGGGCAGCTGAGCAGTCGCGGAGAGCATTCAATAGAAAATCTGCTCCATGGCCTGAGCAAAGTGGCAGCGGCTGGAGCATGTTAAACAAAGGGATAATCATGTGTCACTTTTCAACGTCCAAATAACTTGATGTGACATATTGCCAACCCTAAATGGGCAAAAAAATAAATAAACACATCTCAGTAGATCTTAATTAGTAATCATTAATTTGCTTTTATGACCATGCACTGAAGATTTCAAGCACTAAACATTACAATTAACAGTAGCTATAAGTTGCTTTGCACAGACCTGGTAAAGTCTCAGCCAATATTGTCTGAATTATTACAGATTATTGTTATTAACATTTTCGCCAGATTCAGGTTGAAATATTGTGACAGGAAGCAGCAGTCAATAATCACATTCTGGCAGTTATATTTCAACTTTCTATGTATTTTTTGCTCTGTTCTGTTTAATTTGAAAAACACCTCTTTACTCAAATGTTTGTCCTAAATCTGAAACTGCATTGCACATATTTGATGCAAGTATATTAATAATATACCACATTAATACTAAACATACAATGATGTAGCAGTGGAGCAAAAACAGGGCAGTGGGACAGCTCTACAACTGGAGCAGATTGAGGGGTGCCCCATGCCCCAGTGACCCTCACATCAAAGTCCAAGGACCATTCCTGCAATTACAGTCACCCTGACGGCTCATGGAGGTATTGGCGGAGTGTGCACAATGTGTCTGCCCAATAACTATAAAAGACATTGAAGTGTCAGCATGTAATAAATGAGAAAATAGCTTATTAAAATGTGTGGAGCTGACATCTGCATACAATCTCACAGTTGTATATGAGCTGGTTGATTCTAACTTGTGGTCATTGGAGGTACTTCTACTACCCTCTTATGCAAGTACCTGAACATAAATCATCTGCAACCCAGTTCTGCTCCATCCATGCTGCTCGCTCTCAGGTGACTCTGGTCCGAGCTTGACATTGCAGTCCCTGTATTTACCTCGGTACGGTGCAGAGGTTGCATGGAGATTACAGTATATCAGAAGGGACAGAACGCAGCAGGATGATTGCATTCTTAAACTCGCAAGGCTTTTTTGTGCTTAATACAAAGGCGCGCATGTCTCCTCGATCGGTCACATGCAGCGCTGAACAAAGGTGGTGTAAGCAAAATATGGATGACACTGACACAATCTCATATTTTAAAAACATCAGCCTGCTTAGGGATCTCTCCACTCCAAAAAAACATAACATAATCTAAGCAAAGCCAGTCCTAATCCTCAAAATAAAGAGCAGAGCCCAGTTTTACATAACACCATGTGTGTGATACAAAGAGGTGGAAAAGTTCAATTAATTTTGGTATTCGTTTTGTGGTTAAACTTGAGCCCAAGGAGCTGTGCATGTGAATTTGTTTTGTTAACACCTTATTGCTTTTGTGCTCTAACTTAATTCAACCCATTTTGTAAATGTCACTCACAGCCAAGGCAATAAAATGGATTACACAGTATAAGTGATTTCTTCACAGACTCAATGCCTTGTAGTATTATTTAGATTGTCTTACCCAGATAGAGGGATGCATTTTCCTTCTTCACGTTGTCATCCAGGTACGTAGGGCCCAGGGTGTAGATGGGCGTTGACCCCATGCCCACTAGGATCTGGGCACAGATGAACAGGGCCACGTACAGGTTGTGCTCATTGCCCTCTTGATCACGAGGACAGGAGGACACGTCCAGCGCGTCTCTGCTGCTACTGTTCCCAGTCAGACATAGGCCCTCGTGACCCGCAGATGAGTTTATCTCCTGAATCTGGTACGGAGGAGAGATGAAGTGTGGCAAGGAGAACAGCGCTGCCCCTATGGCAATAAACACACCACCCACAGCTAACCAGCGCGGTCGTTGCCCTCTGCCCCCGAAATAGGAGATGAAGACCACCACCACCAGGCTACCAATGTCAAAACAGCTAACCAGAAGCCCAGACTCTGAGCTGCGCAGGCTGTAGCGCTTTTCGATGGTGGTGATGACACTGCTGAGGTAGCCCGACACCATGAGTGACTGGATGAAGGTCAGGTAGCACATGCAGAACAGGAAGCAGCGGGAATCTCGGAGGATGACCCGCACATACTTTCTGGCCGGGATTCGAATCAGGTTGGCGAAGGAGAATCCCAATTTTTTGCCCCCTGAACCTCTGTGACCCTCCACCGGCAGAGAGGTACTGAGTCCCACCATGCTGGAGGCGGATGGGGAGAAGTCTGTCCTAGAGGAGGGAGTCTCTGCCTGACTTGAGTCTGGAGTTTTGATCTGCAGCTGACTGCTCTGGTCCACATGAGTCACCACCATCCGTGGCTCCTCTGCCTCTTTGTCCTGCTCACAAGGTCCATTTAAAATGGGCAAGCTTTTGGACTTGAAGCTGTTCTCTGGGTCCACATACTGATCCTGGAGATGACTTATCTCCAGAGACTCAGACAGGTCACTTCCAGAGTCGTCCTGGTCCATGGTGCAGGTGGGGATTCTACTTCTCTGTGTGGACAAGTCAACGCCACGCAAGGACACAGTGGAGCCACAGGAGCAGAAACTCTGCCCTGCCAATCAAACTGGGGTGCACTACACCCCTTTGGTTATGTGCATCTCCTGGTCATGTCTAACTACAGCTGATCTCACAGCACAACATCAACTCAACACAGCCTCTGCTAAACAATGACGACACTGATATCTTAACCCTAGAGTCCAAAGCATCACTAGAATATTGTCTCAGGGGCTGACTCGTTTCTTCAATTCATCTATGAAGACAACATTTTCCATGTACGTATAACTTGATTCATCATATAATAGCATAAGCTATGTTATGGCTCTTTGTTAGAAAGCAGCCTGTAGGTGTTTTGATTCCTTTGTCCCATAGCTTTGCAGCATCCTAGAAGAAAGACAAAACATCAGAGATATAGTACACATGTTATTAACTGGTTAGAGCTTATAACATATTTTCTAATGTTAGATTTGTTATAAGAATTGGTCAAAAATGACTGGTCACATCTATTCACTTAACTTAACGTGCAATATTATCACACATGTTGTGACCATGAAATTACGGCCCTAGAAAATAGCATAGAAAAAAAATCATCTTGATAATTATGCATAACAATATTTCATCAACCGATCTAAACAGTTGTCATGGTGTTTAAGGCAAATACAGGTGTTTTGAGTATTGGTCTTGGAGAACAAAAGAGCACGCCGTCCACAAACGCTCATGACTTTGACAAGAGAATAATACAAGAGCAAACAATCTATGAATTCGCTTTAGGAATAGGTGACAGACATTTCTTAAGTCAGAGATTTGTTTAGGCAATAAAAATAAGAGGTATGTGAGAGCTCTTACCCAGGACAGAGGGAGGTAGGCTGTTGTTGTCTTCGCCGTGGACACTCGCTGAATGAGCCCGTTCTGTGCTGTGTCTATGCTGCTGCCAATGACGCCTTCAAGTACAGTGGGAAAACAGAACTGCAACAGCTCCGAGTGTAACCCATGGATGTATTATATTAACGGTGTAACCCTTTCACTTCAACACAACGTCAGAATGTTTTTTGTTTGTTATATCTGACTAAAAGGGCATTATTAAACACCATAATTTAAATCAATGCATGTATTACGCAACTTTTTAAATAATAAGTTATGTAGTTGAAGTCATTTGATCGATGCGGTAAAAAAAAAAAGTAGGTTGTAAGGTTTTATGCTAATATAAATGGTTGAACTCATATTGAACAAAATCTAAGCATTAGTAATTAAATGCATTTACTAAAGCAGCGCAAAATTACAACGGTCACCATACGTTTGTCTGACCGATAACGTAAACGCCTCAAATAGTTGTTTTTCGCACTGGCGCCCTGGGATTTGTAGTTCTGGATCATCTGTAGACAGGGAAAGTACCATAAACACCTCGTTGTAGTTTTCAATTTTTTTCAAAGTTCATCATGGACGTTTTACGATTGCGACTCATAAGCAAACCGCATCTTGGTTCAGCAATGAAATGTCAAGTGAACAGCTGGCAGGCTGGGCTGATGAACCAAAGAGGTAAATTAGTTCAATAAGATTTGGATTTACAGTGCCTTGAAACTTTTCCTAATTTTGTCTCGTTTCAACCACAAACACAACTTTATTCTCCAAGTATGGCCCAACCAGTCCACCAGAGTAGTGTCATTATGTCAATATATACAGCTGTGTATTGTTTGATATGGTTTGTTTTTGGGGAAGTGTTGGTCCTGAAACAGCAACATGAAGTCCAAGGAACGCATCAGTCATGTCAGGGATGACGTTTTACAGAGCACTGCACAACTGCAAACCTACCAATACATTACCGGCCATGTAAGTAACAGATCAAACAAGGAGTGCACTGATGCAGGTTGGAGGGTGGGGATTTGGAGCCCCTTCTCTGGGTGCTGTGGCTAAAGGCGGCACTTGAATGGTACTGCCTCGACTGATAATATCTGCACCTAGATAAAAAAGGTTCTAGATGTCCTGGGTCTAATGGTATAAAGAATTATGTTTTAATTGAGCCGTTAAATCATGTGTGGTGATCTAAAGCCAGCATTACCTACAATAACTAATCACAAGTGCCATTATAATACAATATGTAAAGAATACAGCCTTCAGTGACCCTGGAGTTATTTTTCCCTGCAGACTACATCCTATTGAGCAGAGGCCAATAAACTACAGTGTATGTGAGGCTCTATTGAACAAGACATATCTCTTTGGTAAAGGACTCAACTGCCCAGCCCTGTCATCTGGATGGATGACTTTCCCCAAGGTCATTAATTCATCTCAGGACAAGGTGGGCTGCCTGATCAATCCTGAGCTTTCTCTTTATATTTGGGCTCATTCTGTCTGTTCAAAACTAAAAGCGAATTACATTCCTGAATGTCACAGTTTTGTTTGAACATGATCTGTGCAACGGTATTTTTATAACTGCTTCTAGGGTTACGGACACTCTGTCTACGTGATACAGCGGCCTCCATCCTAATGCAGTCCAGTGGTTTGTGGCGTTGGACAGAAAGGGGCAATGGTCAAGCAGAGGGATCAATGTGAAGAACCCAAAACCTTCACCCAGGGGTCTTGTCACGGCTGGTCTCATGTCAGCTTCTATCAACGCATCTGACCAATCGATGGCTCAAGCTGACAAGAATACACAGTAGGATCAAAGCTGAAGATGCTCATGGTTAAGGTACACATTATTATCTTCTCTGGGCAACAATGTGTCCTCTAAATCTGAACTGTGCTTCAATGCTGCTGTAGCTGCCTGTCAATCCTAACCTATAATAATAAAAAAAGGAGAAACTTCAGATGTTTCAAAGTGGTTAGTGATTATTTGGTTTTATTATCAAACTCTTTACTATACGTTCAGCTCGAACCTGTAGTGAAAATATAGATATTTGTATATATGTTTTGATTAGTTCTGCATATCTGCATATTATTTGAACATATTCTATGCAGCGCTCTGGTGTGTACTGTGACTTATTAACAACACTTGGTGCGACCTGCATGTGAAGCCAAATCCACATTGCCTAATATGAGTCTGGTGTGTGCATGAATGATTAGTGGTGGTTGGAGGGGCCGGTGGCACATATTGATTGCCTCTCTTCTGTCAGTGTGCCCCAAGGCAGCTATGGCAACAGTAGTGGCTTATCACCAACGTCTATTGAGGAAAAGAATAAAGTGATCCGAAGCTTCTTTGAGTGTCCAAAAAAGTACTGTATAAAACCCATGCATTGTCATTATTATTATTCAGTGATTAGCTGATCAGCCTTTTATTTCACCTTAAGTCCAATTAGTCTGGTGTTTTTTTTATATACATCACAAGAAAATGTATTGTCCTTCAACTTTATTGTGATCATTGTACTGGCCTCGTAGAACCCTTATCTACTATCCAGGAGTTAAACACCTCCACACAATAAGTCACTGACGCCAGGATGGGTTTGACCTTTCCTTTATATGGCAGGTGTGAAACTGTAAACACAAAATACAATGTACATGAGTACAAAATGTAAAATAAAGAGCAGCACGCTTTGTAGCTAACATTACCTCAAATGCTACTAAACAAACATGGCCTAATTAAACTGTAAATAGTTCATTTTTGTGCCTCCTATAACTTTTAAAACACACATCTTAATTAATTGACCTAACTTAATCAACTTAACCCATACATACTTACAGGGAATGCCTTTTAAGAACTCAACTGAAAAAACACGTCTTTCCCAGCACACTTTCAACTGGCAATGGCAAGCGTAAATTTCCATGGCAACAAGGTGGCAGCAACAGGCGCCTTTTCTTAAAGGGCCAGTGCTCTAAACCAGCAAACTATGACAAAGATAAATAGACAAGTCAGAACACTCCCCGTCTGGTATCTTAGGATACCACAACTTAAACATCACTAGATAATAAGAAAACCATCTCTGAAATAGGTCGGTAGTAGATTTTCACAGTCCCTTGGGAGGCTACTCTAACCTCAGCCTTCCTAATGACCCCATCTTCGCTTGGAACAGTTTTTGTTATTACACCCATTGGCCACTCGTTTCTTCTTGTTTGTTTGTCCTTAAGTAACACAACGTCTCCGTCTTTGATGTCCTTGTTCTTGCGATGCCACTTTTGACGGATTTGGAGGCCGTGGAGATACTCCTTGCGCCATCTGCTCCAGAATGTGTCCGCAAGGAACTGCACACGTCTCCAGTGGCTCTTGAGCATTTCTTTTGGATCGATAGAGTCACAGATAGGGTACACAGCTTGTGTTTTTTGTGTCAGGAGCATAGCAGGCGATAGAATGTAGGGATGCTCTGGGTCTGACGATACTGGTAAAAGAGGACGTGCATTTATTATGGCCATGACTTCTGCAAGAAATGTGGTAAGGATTTCGTGACTGAGTTGTATACGACCAGCTTGCAGCAGCATGTTGTCGAGTATCCGGCGCGCCAAACCGATCATCCGCTCCCATACTCCCCCCATGTGGGATGAATGGGGTGGGTTGAAGACCCAGGTGCACTTCTGATTCTGCAGGAAGTTTTGCACTTTGTCCTTCTCCGGTGCGTGTTCGTTTATTTCATTGTGAGCTCCGATGAAGTTGGTTCCGCAATCTGAGCGCAACTGTTTTGCAGGACCCCGCACAGCAAAGAAACGTCTCAGTGCATTTATGAAACTTGAAGAACTAATTTCCTCCACTACTTCAATGTGGACGGCTCTTGTGCATAAGCATGTGAACAATATTGCCCAACGTTTACTATTTGCTTGTCCCCCTCTCGTTCGCCTGGTGGTTACCTCCCATGGGCCAAACATGTCCATGCCCACATAAGAAAAAGGAGGCTCTGCTTGGAGTCTGTCCACAGGCAGCTCACTCATAATTTGCTCTTCAAACTTTCCTCTCAATTTTTTGCATGTTACACATTTATTTATGACTTTGCCAATGCATCTTTTTGCTCCCACAACCCACAGGCCACTTTCCCGGACAGCGCCCTCTGTAAAATGTCGTCCCTGATGATTCACACTTTCATGATGGTGACGCACAAGGAGGGTCGTGATGTAGTGACTTCCTGGTAGGATAATGGGGGTTGTTTCCTTTACTCCCAGCCCTGACCGACTAATACGACCTCCGACTCTGAGCAGCTCGTCTTCTCCTAGGATGGGATTGAGCTTCACTAGCGGGCTGTTTTTTGGGAGATTCTGTTTTTCAGTGATGCATTTAATTTCGTTTGCATATGTCTCACGCTGAATATTTCTTATTATGATATTCTCTGCATGTTCTAACAGTTCAATGGTAACAGCTTTTTTACAAATGTGCCATCCCTTACATTCCGTTTGAGGTTGAGAGAAGCATTGCGCGATGTGAATCAAATTGGAAAAAGCTCTGCGAAGGGAGGACCATGAGGAGAAGCGTTCCCAGCGTTCTGAGCCCTTTGAGATGCTAGTGCAAAGTGTCTTTACCTCAGGACGCACATCTGTGTCATTGTCTGGGTCCTGCAGTTCAAGCACAGGCTGCTCTTGGATCTCTGAGGAGTGCTGCAGGAAGGATGGACCTGTGAACCATGTGGTATTTTGTATGTCAGCGGCTGGAACAGAGCGTGAGCCATGGTCAGCAGGGTTCTGGTCTGTGGTAACAAAATGCCATTGCTCTGGATTTGTTGACTCTCTAATACGACGCACACGGTTATTCACATACACATAAAAACGCCTGGACTGGTTGTGGATATAACCTAGGACCACCTTGCTATCTGTGTAGAATCTGGCTTTGTCTATGGGAAGGTCCATCTCTTCAATTATGTGCTCTGCCATTTCAACCGCCATCACCGCGGCGCAGAGTTCGAGTCTAGGGACCGTGAGCTCGGGCTGAGGAGCGAGCCGTGCCTTACCTAGGACAAACCCAACCTCTGTTGTGCCATCTTCAGCCGTAACCTTGAGATAGGAGACTGCACATATTGCTTTCATGGATGCATCTGAAAAGAGACAAAGTTCTACAGATTTAGCTTGCAAAAGTGACATTTTTGTGTATGTGCGTGGGACATGGACGCCACTGAGGCATTGGAGCGACAGTTGCCATTTCATCCACTGGCCTTTTAGATCCTCCGGTAGAGGAGAATCCCACTCTGTTGTCTGAAGCGATAGTTCTCTCTCAGAAGCAATCGTCCTTGAATGATGACTGGGGACAGAAACCCGAGAGGGTCGAACACACTGTTCACAGTCGAAAGAACCCCTCTTCTTGTGTAGGGTTTGTCTGTGTGTGGGATGTGAAAAGTGAAATAGTCCTCCATTATATTCCACTTAACTCCAAGACTGCGCTGATCCGGGAGTTCATCCTTGAAAAGGTCCAGATCCTGCAGGTCCTTCGCTCGGTCTTGAGACGGGAATGCATCCATCACCTCAACCTTGTTTGATGCTATCTTGAGAAGGCGGAGGTTTGAGGCAGCGAGCATCTGCTGTGTTTGCTTTAGCATGTCTATTGCTTGGTGCTCGGTGGGGACAGATCTTAAGGCATCATCCACATAAAAGTCACGTTCTATGAAGTTGCAGATGTCTGACCCATATTCAGCTTTTCCTTGTTGTGCAGCTCTTCTCAGGCCATAAGTTGCTACCGCGGGTGAGGGGCTGTTGCCGAATACATGCACGCACAATTCTGTAGTCCACAAGTTCTTTTTGTGGGTCATTATCTTTGTGCCAGACAAATCTGAGAACGTCTCTGCAGTCCTCGCGCACCAGGAAGCAATAAAACATTTGTTGGATGTCTGCTGTGACTGCGACTGGATGTTTTCGGAATCTAATAAGCACGCCTAATAGGCCATTGTTCAGATTAGGTCCTGAGAGGAGCACAGTATTGAGTGACATACCTTCGAACTGCGCGCTGGAGTCAAATACCACGCGAATTTGTGATGGCTTCTGTGGATGGTATACTCCGAAATAGGGCAGGTACCAATACTCCTTGCCTTCTTGTACTGGGGGTGCAAGCTCTGCATGCCCATTGTCTAACATTTTTTGCATAAAGTCCAACAGGTGTTCTTTCATTTCAGAGTTTTTACTGAGAGTTCGTTGAAGTGACCTGAGACGGCTGATAGCGTAGTGGCGATTGTTTGGTAATCGTGGTCTTGGCTGACGAAATGGCAGCGGAGCTACCCAGCTTTGTGATTCGTCTTGAAAGCACTCGCTGTCCATTAGTTTGAGGAACTGCAGATCCTCCATTGAAGGTGCGAGCTTATTGTCATTTTTGGTCTGGCAGAACACGTTCTCTCTAACACTTTCATATTGTGGGTTGACTCTCATGCTTGAGCTATATGTTGTCATTTTCTCCTTTGTAAGACTGGTGTCTTGCTTGACAGTGAAGTGATTTTCACATGGCGGGAAATGGGTCGGTCTGCCATTCGCCAGGATGTGTGTCTTGAGAGTGGTGACTTGTGAGGGCTTATGAGTGTTGCCAAGGCATACATCTCCAACTATCACCCAGCCTAAATCAAGTCTCTGCGCATAAGGTGCATCGTGGGGCCCATTGATTTGACTGCGCACTTTATGGACCCTCAGAATATCTCTCCCAAGCAGTAGCAAAATATCTGAACCATTGTCCAAAGGTGGTATTTTGTGTGCTATGCTTTCAAGGTGACGATGAGCGTGAGCGACGGCTGGTGTGGGTATTTCGTCTCTTTTATTGGGTATCTCATTGCACTCAATTAGCATAGGCAGGGGCATTGTGAGAGAGCCGTCAATGGCCTCTATCATGTAGCCAAGGGCCCTTCTACCTGAAGCTTGGCCTATACCACTGCATGTCTGGAGGGTGTAAGGAGCTGCGTTTCCTTTAACTTTGAACTTATCAAAAAACTCAGAGCGTGCTAGCGATACGTTACTCTGGTCATCCAGCATGGCGTACATTCTTTGACGTTTGCTGGAATCATTGACAGGGAAGACATTAACAAGGCATATTTTTTGAACATGACTTCCCAGAGAAACCCTCACCGCATACTTCAGTGCAATTTGAAACAACTACTTTCTCCTGAAATTCTCGTTTCTCCCCGCCATGCTCTGCTGGCGGTGGAAGAGTTTTGGGGAAGTACGGAGCATCTTGATGCATTGCTGTTGGATGCCTATCACTGTCACACTCAGAACATTTAACTTCTGCTTTACAGTTACGGGCTACGTGTTCATTAGATGCACAGCACTTGAAACATATATTGTGTTGCTTTATTATGATCTTTCGTTCTTGAAGTGGTTTTTCTCTGAAGCTTCTACATTGTAGTAATGCATGCGGTTTGTTGTGTATAGGACAATACTTATCGGGTCCTTCAATGGGTGGGCCTGTGACATCGGTCTTATGCACTGAAACTGTTTTGCGAGTGTTGCTTTGACTCTCTCCATACCTGTTCCATTCCTTTCTACCTCCGGAAGGGTGTGGTAGCTGTAGATTGAAGCTTGGGTCATTACGGGCCTTTGCTTGTGTCTGTATGAACTGCAAAAAGAAAGCAAATGGAGGAAAGGTCACATGATATCGCTGTTTGAAGTGGGAACCTTCCATCATCCACTTGTCTTGTAGCCCAAATGGCAATTTATCTACAATAGGAGCAATGCCTCGTGCAGTGTCAAGATAAGATAAACCATGCAAATATCCTTCTTGTTTTGCAGACTCAATCTCCTGTAGTAAATCACTGAGTTCTCTGAGTTTTATATTGTCTCTAGGTCCTATTTTGGGGAACTGGTCAAGTTTTGCGAAAAGAGCACCCTCTATGGCCTCTGGTGACCCGTAGACCTCTTCTAGCCTTTCCCAAATGAGATCTAATGCTGCTACTGGTTTGTTTATGTTGACAGCTTTAATGCGTTGTGCATGTTTAGTGGACTCTGGACCAAGTGACTTTACCAGGAGGTCTATTTCTTCCGATGCCTTAAGCTCCAGGGTCTCAATAGCATTAGAGAAGGATGATTTCCAAGACAAATAGTTTTCCGGCTTGTCGTCAAACTTTGTGAGTTCAGATGTTAGTAACTGACTCCTCACTAAATATTTGGCAAGTTCATTTGTTTCACTTGAGTTGTTTGTAGCATGAGTGTGATTCCGGGCACGTCCACGAAAGGGCGACATATACGCTGGAGACTCCTGAACTTTATAATTAGTGTTGTATAGTGGTTCTCTTTGTTCATGTGAATCCTGCCTTTGTTCTGGAGGTCTGGATGCATGGGAATGCCTTGGCGGTGCAGGCAGCTCATCTTGTGTTACTTCAAATGGGTTGTCTTGGGTTAGATTTCTGTTTATTCCTGTTTTTATGTCATTTGATTTACTTGAATCGATGAATGCCTGCTGTCTTCTTACATAATCTGCAGTTCGATCATGGGAACTTTCTGGCTCTTGTTGTGGGGTTAGATGTCCTCCATCTGTGTCCAAACCCGCTGCTGCAGACTCCAGTACTGCTGCTTCTGCGGCTGCAGCTACAGCTTCACCTTCTTTATTTAAAACATCAAGTTCTACTTCTAATCTGGCTTTCTGCAATTTGATTTCAACTTCTCTCTTTGCAAATTCTGCTCTCTTTTGGGCACCTTCTGCTCGAGCACGTGCATTAGCAGCTGCTAATATCACGCTTGCCACAGAAGAACGGCTTGATTTCTTTGATGCTGAAGATCTGACTTCATACATTTCATCATTCTTCATCGTTGCGCTGATTTGATGTGCTTCAACACTGACTTGGAGATACTGCGACTGTTGTGCTGGCCTGGATGCAGCGTGTAACAATGCAGCAGCCAGGAGTTCATAATATGGAATCCCTTTTCACTGTACTGGCCTCGTAGAACCCTTATCTACTATCCAGGAGTTAAACACCTCCACACAATAAGTCACTGACGCCAGGATGGGTTTGACCTTTCCTTTATATGGCAGGTGTGAAACTGTAAACACAAAATACAATGTACATGAGTACAAAATGTAAAATAAAGAGCAGCACGCTTTGTAGCTAACATTACCTCAAATGCTACTAAACAAACATGGCCTAATTAAACTGTAAATAGTTTCATTTTTGTGCCTCCTATAACTTTTAAAACACACATCTTAATTAATTGACCTAACTTAATCAACTTAACCCATACATACTTACAGGGAATGCCTTTTAAGAACTCAACTGAAAAAACACGTCTTTCCCAGCACACTTTCAACTGGCAATGGCAAGCGTAAATTTCCATGGCAACAAGGTGGCAGCAACAGGCGCCTTTTCTTAAAGGGCCAGTGCTCTAAACCAGCAAACTATGACAAAGATAAATAGACAAGTCAGAACAATCATTGTGATTTGATCATCACATCACACAACTTATAATAAATCCAAGAGAGCTACTATTTGGAGTTTGAAATAGTTATCTTTCACAAATAAATGGATGTCACATATCACTAGATGCTCAGTCCTTGAGAACTACTGTACTATCCAGGACTGAACATTTTAAAACAGACAATAATCACCCTTGTAGTAAAATTGAAACGATACATAATCATTGTAAATAGGACAGTTATGGTCAGTTTGTTATTCGCTCGTTGTGACCAGGTTTTCTTTGTCTCTTTCTATTTCATAATAAATGTTATAGCCCTCCCATGTGAACAAGAAAATGAAGCTACTTTGCAAAGAAGGTCAGCCGCACAGAGCTGTTTGTTATCTGAGTTCTTCCCACAAACACTGCCAATAATTATTGCTGTACTGCATTTCTTATAAACTGTTCAATACGCTCTGTTCTCCAGAAGAATAATGAGTTTGCGCTCAGGCAGGTCAGATATCAAATCCTTTTACAATCCCAAAACAGCTCTTGGGAAGCTGCCACCATTTAGACTGTGATAAGTAGACTAATGTTAGTTAACATCTAAGTCTAAATTTCATGGCTCTCAGCAAAAGATTTGTTATTCACTTCTGATGTTATGGCGTTATCTACCAGTGTGCAAATGGAAAAGAAATACAATACCGCCCTCTACAGCTCAGTGCATTCTATGACATGTGAGGGTTGGACTGGATCCTCTCATGTCATTGAAAGTCAGTATTACTAATTGAACAACAGATGGCGCTCCATACCAACACCCCACTGACATCAGGGGAGAAAAAGCCCCCGTTTTAGTTTGTTACTCTTCTATGGCGTCAGATGTGGTTTGTTATTTTGTGAGTACATTTGTTTTTCCTTCATCTTCTTACATTTGACAACATTTGGAGTGATATACTTTGCCTCCATAATAATAATAAACATGTGTTCATATGTTTCTTAATCCCAAAAGACACTTTTAATGTAATTATACGTAAGGGCAACATTAATGTAATTTTCTAAATTGTAGAACGCTATTCATCTTGTGTATTCTTGGTAACATATAATAGTATTTTTTCACAGGCGAGTCTTCCTGGTCTCAGCTGGGGAGAGTCATGATGGCAGGTGACGTCTGCGCCTTCATCGTCATACGCTGCTTCTTGTGGCCTTGAGGTTCCTCCCACCCCCACACCCCACCCCACCCCCATTCCCTGCTCCCACACTCTTCCTGTTAACCATCCCGCCTGTATTGACAGATTACAGGAATCACTAATGAAACTGTGTCTGGATGCACAGATTTATCAGATATATGTTTGTGAACATGCTCCTCCATCCCCCACACCTGCCCACACTCGCCTGTGCGGGAAAGTCCTATTTAACGGCATGGAACTGGAAGTGTTAGGGGAACACAGGAAGCATCTTAAGTGCCATATTTGAAAATAGGGATAGAAATTGACATTATACAGTATCCCAACAAAAACAAAATACAGGCATTCAATATGGCCAGGCAGAGACCTCCATACTTTCACAAAAGCTCTACCAAATCTTATCCATTTAGATTCAGACATTCAAACCATTACTTGTATTACTGCTTCCATCACAAGAACCAAAACAAGAAAAATAGTCACATTGTAAACATACAGGTAGGTCTCCCCCCTCAGTGCTTAGGTGATCACATTATCGGACATATGGCATAACTCGCCAGTTCTCTCAACGTGGAATACAAAAGAGAGCTTTGTGTGTAGTGCTTTCTCTCTGTGAGGGCTGTTGTTTTCGAAAATCAAGAGAAGCAATGAAAGAACACACACATATATTCTAGTTGGGGGAATTTCATCAGCTAATGGGTTTACAGCAGCACTCACTCCTATAACAGGGCTCTATGTGCACTGTAGCCCCCTGTGCTACTGTTTACAACACTCCACTTCCTTAAGGCACGAATCTTCTTCAATTAGACAGGCTTCTGGTCTGGCAGCAAAACAAGTTACAATGTATGTTTTATAGTTTCCTATTAAAAAAAAAAAAAAGATAGACTTATTTACTGTATTGGCCATTCACAGGGTTCTAGAAACATGAAAACTCTTATGAGCCCTCGATGTATGAATAGAAATAAATACAGATTGACCGAAAAAAAACTTCACAAAGTATGAACAAGCAAGGTGGTTTTGGAAAAATGGTGACCAGCTAGTTTTGATCTGAGAATATTTGTTATCAATATTTTCATAAAAATTATTACACAGAATTCAACCACACAGATCTAGGAGAAAGAAATAATATCAATTTAATCAGTGCATCAAATCTGTAGTTCCACAGATTTCGCTGTCCGAAAAAGTATGTACCGTATATTTTTAGGTTTTATTGGACAACAGAAATCCTGAATCCATAATAGTTTTAGGATATAGATGTTTTGAGTCTAGAATGGTAACTCATTTATAGTTTGGACTTAAAACCATCATATGCAAAGTTTCCCAGTCAGCTTCATGTATTAGATGTCAAAGTATTTTCTTCTACACTTTGCTGTTAGTATCTTGTATAATTTAAGTTTGTATTGTTGTATTGATGATCAGTTATTGCTTCTCTACAACCTGTGCTCTTTTGGTGAAGAGAATATTCAACACCACTGTCTTTTTTTGGTTTACTCATTGACAAAGCCTCAAACTCTGCCGTGCTGTAATGCATATGAAAGAGCCCAGCAGCAACCTGGCGTAGTCATTTTGTTAAAGTGCATTGGCCTAAAATAAAGACCCCCTTTACTGTGTGCAGGGCAGGCTCAGCAGGAGTCCTATGCGTATCCAAAGCCCCCGAGGAACCCCCGTCCCGCTGCAGAATATTGGTTTAACACTACATGGTCCAGTGCTGGTGCAGGACAGGACTCCCAGAGAGACGAGGCTTCCATGACAAAAGCAGTGGTAAATGTGGCCTTCCTAATAAGTCAAGAAGACATTAACAAATGTTGTTATGTCAAAGAGAGAAGTACTTCTACTCAGTGGGGAAGTGTGAAGAAGAGCGCACCACTTTCATTATAACAATATGGCTGAAATGACATCCGCTGAGAAGAATATCAACACGTGAATATATCATAACAGATGACAGTCTATATACAGTCGATACATATAAATTACATTCGGTCGCTTTTTTATTGTCACATAATTCAGTTCAATTAAGAATCGTTGTAGCATCTTGAATTACAGTAAGGAGACTGTATTGCACTTTGATAGTAAAACTCAGTATACTATCAGGTAAAACGGCCCCTTGTATCCATATTCCTTTATTAGACCCCAGGAAGACTAATGACCACTTGTGGACGCTCATGGGAATCCAAATTGATGAATAAATAGATAAATATTATGCTTTAGAATAGAAAAAAATTGCCTTTTTCAGAGCACAAACCTTTGCTACCTGCACGTTAACATACTAGTCAAATGCACTAATGTTTTCTTGGGAAATGCTCTCTTTGTGTTGTCTATTTGGGTTGTGCTCATAGTTAGAAGAGCTCATTGATCCCATGTCCTTCCTGAGTTCGACAGTCCTGTATTTACAGTCAACAGCGGCCTGTTTCAGGTCTCCAAAGGAATATGGAAATGGTCCATAGCTGCAGGCTTCCACACAGGGTTCTCTGCTGGCATTTCATATTCATGGATAACAATTACCTCCATATGAAAGGAATAATTGCTGTGGAGGCTTAAGCTAATTGAAGAATGTATGAGTTTTCAGTGCCTAAGGCTGAAGCAGGGCAGCTAACAGGAGAAAATGTTCTTACAATCACTGACTGTTTGAGAGAGGGTGATGTCAATGCTCTATTGTCAGAGCTCACATACTTACAACCGCTAAACTTTTGCTCTCCCCTTCACCCCCATTTCTGTTGCTTTGTTATGTTCTAAAATTATATTACTATTTTCACATAATCTGGACCTGCACTGCAATAAAATGCACTTATTCCGAGGCGCCTATAGCAGATCTATAATAAATGCATTAATTGCGAGGTTTGAGAAGGCACAAGAATGCTTTCTGTGATCTGATTTAAAGAACAAAATAAAGATCTATATAGTAAACTATTAAACTGACTGTAAAATAAAATTACTGTGGAAATCATGAGCTTTTTTCTGGATTAAATCTGTATTTTTTAGGACATTGATGCTGCAGATTAGTGCGTGGGGCCAGCTGCTGTTGTTCTGAGCATCAGCCCATTGACAATCATCAGTCCCACTGTCACTTCTCCTGCGTGGGGACAAGGCGGGTCCAGCTCGGCATGCTTCCAAACCCAAATCTCCTTCACCATTGTTGAGGCAGCACCCAAGCCCGCTGCCACCCAGAGGAGTAGCAAAGGGGCTACTGCTTATCCCCTCTAGAGCACCCTCATCCCTCTAATTACCTCCGGGCCAAGCTGTAATCGGGACACTTGTGATAATCAGGCCGAGCGGCAGGGAGGTGGATACTGCAGATAGAGAGACGAGGCGCTGCTGTAAACTTCTGGTTAAAGCTGGGGTACTTAACTTTCAAAACCAAGTTCCCTTTTCTCATGACAGTTTGGTGCTATTACTAGTATTCACGTTCATGTATTTTTGGCCTCCATCGCATCTTTAGATCACAGTTCTCAGACCGAAAAGTGGAAAAGAAGAGGACCACCCGCACTCAACTAATCAGCTCTCAGCCCAAAAATAGTGGCTCTATACAGAAAAAGCAAAAGACATAATTTTTTAGAATTTTTAGACAATAAAGTCAGGTACCCCAGCTTTAAGATTACTTCAAGTGGCGATGATTTACTTTATTCCACCTACCGCACAAGATTTAACATTGATTATGCTCGGATATCTTATGATCTTATTGAAAATACCTGAAAATTAACAAAAACACAGCTAAAGAACAGAGATGATGTAATATTATTTGTTGAATATTATTATTTCAACAGAGGTCTTATTTAGCTTTCCAATTCTTTATCTGCAAAAGTTGTTGCCTTTTTTCCACCAATCATGAATCAGTGCCAGTGCAGCCTCTCAGCTTTTCCACGAGCTCTTTCATACCCTTTTTCTTTAGAATTGAATAATTTTGAGATGTATTTGCCCCTAAACCCCTACATGCAGCAGTCGATGTATTTGTGCTGGCTCATGAATATGGAGCATAACTAGCGATTTCTGACACTGGCCTTTGCCCCCAGCACGGCACACTCCTGTTACAACATGGGCCCAGGACACACAGCTGCTGACGCCTTCTGCCCTCACAATACTGAGGTGTTTGCACTGTAATTACTGCTGCACTGTCTTTGTCCGCACCATAATCCAGCGCTCCCATTGTGACCGCGGCCTGTGTGCTACCTCATCACTCCTCCTTCATGCCCGTGTATCATTGAACTGGAGTGTGCTGCGCTACAAAGACTGGGGCACAATTAGCCGACGATGTGGGCCAGTGAACACCCCGCGACAATGGAACAACTTTTATACGACTCTTAAATGGAAGGCAGAGGAGTGTGCTTCGGCCCCTGCTTAAGAGGCCAGGGGCAGCCATCTCCAGCCTTTGTGCCGGTGAAACAACTGGCCATTTATTTCATTTACTAGTTAGCCATTAATTGGAAGACACCACTGATTTGCTGTTGGTAATGGAAAAGCTAATCGTCACCCCGGCTGAGGCTTTAATTGAATCCATTCCACTCATTGCTCCGTCAATGATTATTTAGTAATCAATATGGGCTATACGGCATAGGAGATGAGATGGTGCTGCAGTGGGATGTCTTGGAATACAGTATGTTGAACTTTTACTGCGATTTATAATTGTTACAAAAGTAGTATAAAAGTAGTACAAAAGTAGTATAATAATGAAACCATAAATTGTTCGGATAAGGTATGATTGTTTGGATAAGTATGATATCCTGGGATTGACTGGGCCAATCCAACTCTGACAAAACGGAGTAGAATCCACAGTTATTGTCTAGTGGTTGTACACATGTGTTGATCCCTTAAAGCTGCAGTCCCTAAATTTCAAAGCACAAAAACATTTAATTATCTCATAAAACCGGTCTTACTAGTTCTTTGCTCTCAAAACAGTGTGGTTCCATTCTCTAGGTTTCTCAACATTTGGGCATTATTACTTGTATGAGACTCTTTCTGTTGGGACAAACTTGACAAAACCTTTGGATAACCCTAGCTTTAAACCTTAAAATGTGCTTATCCACTTTTCTAACCATTCTCTGCATAGTACACATTTGTCAGTGCTAATAGACTTTTGTTTGCCCGGACTCTTCAACAGGTTTTTGGCTCTGCAGCAGTGGCACTAATGATCGGGCTGTGGACAAGCCATCGATCAGCTGATCTTTCTATCACCGCGTGTGGATACGGGGCTGTAATTGAGTGGCACAGAGGGAGAGAGTGTCTGTTCCAGGTATGTTGGGGATTAGCAGCATGCCGCAAACACACACTGTTACGTTTTGGGGCCAGGGGGACGGGAGATGTGTGCTCCTCGGGCTAATTATGAGTTGTAAAGCAGGGAGAGATTGTGGTCGCTGGTTTGATTCCCAGAGGAGGATCAATGTACAGGCCACTGCTGGGTAATTACTGGAACTGTTTGGATTGAGATGCACAGCCAATTAATGCCGCCACACTGCACTGGTCACACAAACATCATATCTAGTGGTTAAAGTGGGACCAATTATTAGTGACTTTAAAACGCTATCATCAAAATGTGTGGTTTGTATTATTGACTATTGTGAACATTTACAGACTTGTGAAAATGGATCCTATGGTGCTTGTTTAATTTTTGTATTTTCTGTGTTTTAAATGTTTGATTCTCTGATCTGTTGTTGGCGAATCAACAATTTTGGAAAATCTTTTGAGACAGCTGCTGTTGTGAAGTAGGGCTATACAAAATTAACTTCAATTTAAAATAAAATTAATTCTATATTTTTTTATTACTACCAAAATTACAATTAGGGACGGTTTCTTTACCCCATACAAGAGTCCTTAGAACATGTAAAGCGTCTTAAAAAGGACAAAGGAACAAGATTTGTCATCATTATTCATAATTAATAATAAAAAAAGTAAACAGGTCAGAGTTTTGTCATGTGGATAATTTTCAATTTTTTTATTTCTTGTGGACCTCCTCTAATAAAACGATTCAAGCACATTTTTTTAGACAACTATTGTAATTGATTTTAAAAAAAGCTTATTTAGGCTGTTTTGTCTCCGTTCTCTTGTGTCTGTTGCTCTTCTGCCCTTCTGGTCATTGTGACGCTGACTCTACCTGTCACATCCCTCACCACAACACACACACACACACACACACACACACACTGTATGTCCAGCAGAAGTCCTGTGAGTGCCTGGGCGTGGGAGCTGCCTTCATTAGGCCTGTGCCCAGTGGTGGGACCAGTGTAATGGTCAGGGTTAAGGCTAACAGGACACTAGGGAACAGAAGCACCTGCATGATAACATTCAGCCACCAGGGACAAAAGTTTGTGTGGCTTTAGTGGTTGAAACACTCATATATTTTTTGCAACAACATCTAGAACTTAGGGTTGAGTACTTTTAGTTTCATTATTTGTGTGAAACTAAATTTTAACAGTCAAGATTCCATTTCTACATTCGATGCTTCCCGCAAAACGTTTACCTACATTCTTCTTTCATCTTTTTTATGTTTTATTGTAATAGTCCACAATCTATCATAACGTATTTGGTCTGTTTCACCCATAGACTGTATTTATTATTTCACATCAAATATCTTTTCACTGCTTATGTTCTTATTGAAAGGCAACTCCTGGTTGGTATGTTTGGCAGTAGTCGTCTTTCAATAAAAACCTAAGCACTAAAAGCAAAAACAAGCAATGTCCTTCTGTATTTACAACCTCAAAGTACCAGTAATTTATTTTGTATAATATGGCAACATGTACATGAATTGAAATCGATCTAATGTTTATTCAAGGTCCTATTATGTCCGCTGTTAATGAGTACGTAAGGTCAACCAATTCACCTTTAGTCTGCCACATCACTAATACCTTCCTCTTCAGTCAAACGAGCGTCATGACAGAATAACGTGTGACCCTGACCTCTCGGCACCACATAAGCAGCGTTTATCTGCTCATAGCACCCTCTAAATCTGCCTTATTAGAGTTTCCTGGGCCTTTCGTCTCTGTTTGTGTACACGACGGATGACTTTGCTTCCTTCCCATCCGTTACAGAACTGCTGTAAATTTCCTCTTCGGCCCAAATGAGATCATCTCCTCGCTGACGCTCATTTGAAATACTGCGGCCTATGACGATGAGTATTGGTGATTTCCTTGCCTTTGTTTGTGCCATTAAGAAGAAGAAGGCTTGTTGTTGTGCTGTGCCGATGGATAGGCTGTCACAGAGGCAGTGTCTGGATCACTTGCTCGATTGTATTTCAGCCCCTGATTAACTAAGTCCAGATTAATGTCTGCGGTATTTATGGTATTAAAAGACGGATGGCTCTAAACCCGTGTCTTTATAAATGGCCGCTCCCTATCTCCTCGCTCGCCCCCAGAGGTCCTCACAGCCTCTCCCCTCTCTCGCTTCACGTGCCCACCTTCCCTCTTCCTTTAATTACTGTCTTCATGCTTGACGGCCGCTGATGACTTGATTAAGCCTGCCCGGTGCAGTTCCAGTCTCTACCCTGCTGATAAATGAGGACGAAGCTTATTAACTTACTCATTGGAATCAATAAGGCGCTGGGCCCGAACACAGCGAAGGGTAAGAGGGGAAACTGCTCGGATCAGCCAAGATGCAGAGGGTCGTGTGTTTAGTGCCGGCAGCCAATCAAAGAGCTTGGAAACTCTATCAGCAGCGTCTACCCACAAGAAAACTTAGGTTCCAGTCTTCTGATAAAACCCTATTTGTCTTATTGAAGTCCATTATTTACAGGAATGGTCCCAAATTTGGTCTTTGTTAAAACTTTGGTGCCTAATTTCCTCTTATAATGGAACTACAGTATATGCAATAAAGTCCATGTAACTAGTTCCTCACTCTTGATTTGATAGTTAGTTTGGTAAATATTTGTTTTCTTGCCTCATCTGAGTGAATTAGAACCTCACTCAACCACTTTTACTAGACTTTCATTTGCGACAAACTATTATTTATGAAACAAATAAGTTTGGTCCCCTATCGTCAACTTAATAGCACCGTTTCAAGCGTATGTTAGATATAGCGATATTAATAATAAAATAACAGTCTTTCGTTTATGTCATGACACCTTTCACTTTCAGTTTGACCTCTGCTATTTTAAGGAACCCCAAAGTAGTCCAGATATTCAATAAATCAAACAGTGGCCTAGACGGCTGACTAATCAGAACAACAGAAGACAAAGTGTAGTCTTACAACGAGAGTGACAAGGGACAAATGACTCAAACAAGATTAAATTAGTGAGTGTAGAAAGCGCCGCACGTCGTAGAAACCTCCAATAAATCACGAGAAAGAGGGAACATTTGTTTTGTGTTCCTCAGAAGTCTTCAGGATGCATTTATCAGCTCAGCAGTCTTCATGCCACAGCGGCTATGGCCTTTACACATTAGTCCTCCCTGTGTGTCCGTGCTGGTCTATACACAGAGGTCCTCAGCATGAACATGTGTCCCATCTGAAGCCTGCTCCCTGGGGACCCCCTTCCACTCCACCTGGGCCTTCACAAACAACAGCCTCATCATTGGAGCTAATTTGGACTCCTATAGATGCAGTCAGCTGAGTCAGAGGAGATATTGTGTTAAGGCGATGTCTCGATCTAATCCTTGACAGACATTATGATAGATAGAGCTTCCAGTGCCCTGTATATCCTGCTATTGTGGCTAATCAACACATACCAGTATTGATGGCTCTGTTCAATTCGTCAATATATGCACCAGTATTTACATATATATCCTTTTCTCATTTTTCATGTTGTTTTGTCTTGTTTTCCCTCATGACTTAAACTAATCTGGTTCGGTCTTAACTAAACAGGATTCCACCAGGAGCCACACGATTCCTATTGGCCCCTGTCTTTTCTTTTCCCACTGTTGTATTTGAGTGTGGGCAGCAAGGTCTTCTGGGAAGTGGCTCTTAAGTTGATGTGGACCATTAATGTAACAGGAGGCTTCTTCAGACACATTGATCTGCAGCTTGAGCCTCAGCAGCACATGTGTGAGACCCCTTGTAAAATGATGTCATAAGCAGCCATAAGTAATTTATTTATCATTATTATACATACATATATCACAAGCACCGCAATCTACAGCCACTTAACCTACTGCAGTATATTGGGAAAGTGTAGACAGGCCCTTCCCCTTTTGTTCCAACTCAGAGAAAAGCATACCACACTTAACTTATATCACATTGTCAATGCCAATATCATCAATAATATGTTAGCGAAGGAAACATTGCTCTGCTGGAGAATACCATGAGCTTCCATCAGCTTTTCAACTACAAGTCCCTTAAAGCAGGGCTGTCAAACTGCGGTGCGCGGGCCAAAGCCGGCCAGTGAGATAATTTATTGTGGTCCCCAAAATTGATCATAATAATGCATTGGTTTTCTTTAGGGCTTTCTATTTTCTGCCCACCCAATGACGCTTCACCTGGCCACGGCTGTACTGAGGCAGACTGACGGAAGCAAGGCAAGGTTTTCCAAGTCTGTGTCTTCCGCCCTTCCGACCACCACCAATCATTCACGCTCACCCCAGACTCAGACCTAAGGCAATGTGGGTAAAGAGTCTTGCCTAAGTTTTACACTTTACAGTCGCAGCCGCCGTACTACGGCACCTGGTGTTCCCAGAGGTCTCCCATCACAGTACTAACCAGGCCCTTCCCAGCCTATAGCGTATGGTTAACATTAATATTAACTAGGGCTGTCCAAAATAGCGCGTTATTAACGCGTTAACGCAAATCAATATTAACGCCGTCATTTTTTTTATCGCGCGATAAAAAAAAAAAATTAAATTTTTTTTTATTTTTTTATTTTTTTACTTTTTATTGCAGACAAACACATATACAGAAAAAAAAATAGAAACAAAGAAAAGGACTAGTTCAGATACATTGTAGACAGAGATTACAAACAATATGTAGTTGGAGATACAGGGGGCCAAAGAAGAAACCCAGAAGGGCACATAGGAGGGGAGGGGGGGGGGGGGGGGGGGGGGGGGGGGGGGGGGGCATGAAGTGGGAGATGGGGGGAGGGGTTAATAAAAAAGGCAATACAAGCAAACAGTATACAGTCATAGATATACCGAAGGTAAACAGAGAAACAGCATAGAGTATTTACATGAACAAATTTACAAAATATTTACAGATTGTTTATCATCATCATAATGACACCATGATGTTTCTATACAGTCTATGGTCTATACCCACACATACACACACACACCCACACACACACATTGAAGGGGCTTTTTGTTACCAATTATTTATTTTGTCATCCATTTATTGATGATTTTGCATCAAATGTTAGTGTGTAATATAACACTACACATTGTTTTCAATAAAAAAGCAATTGCACACAGCACGCAAATGTGTGACTAATTTGCGATTAATCGCGAGTTAACTATGAAATTCATGCGATTAATCGCGATTAAATATTTTAATCGTTGGACAGCACTAATATTAACCCAAAAAACAAATGATGAGTTATTTGAAAAAAATATTTTGAAAAAAGGAAATCATCAGCACTTTAACAATCACGGCCCAATTTGCTCATTTTGTTCTCCATTAAAGTAATTAATTGGTCAAAATACCTCTATAATGTGAACATTATTCTGTTTTAATATTATTTTTTACCCATCCCTACATCCATTTTTTCCCCCTTAATCCAAGTCGGGGGGTGGCAGTCAGAGCTGCACCCAGTACACCAGTGCATCAGCCCACAGGAGCCTTGAGCTTTCATGTCTTTTTTTACCACATGCAAAATATGTTCTTTACATATTTTTATCAATTTTCCCACGGAGCCCCCCTGACCTAAAAGTAAACAACTTGTGATGCCCACTGACGTGAAATGCAGAATAATATTTAAACCTTATTGTTATTATTTGTTTATTTAATGACTTTACTTTTCCATGATCAGTTTACAATAAAAAGGCTTAGTCAGAAAAGGTCTGTGCTGTTCACTTTCAGCTATAATAGCATCCCTTTAATCTGCCGAGCTTCCTATTCCTACAGCAGCAGCAGCGAAATAAAGCCTTTCATGTCATAAAAAGGAAATGGATCAGCAAACTGAGACGTACTTATAATTAGCAGGGGTTGTAATGTAGACAAATATTCAGAAGTATTGGGTTTACTAATCCATAAGAGAACGCAGGAGTCAGCACATCTCCATGAAAGAATTATATTAGAGCTGCCGAGCGGTGCACTTTTGGAGTGTTCTTTGAAAAAATTGACGTTATAAGAAATGTGGAGTGCACCTTACCGTATCTGTATTTGGCCCAATCAATGCTATATGACAACATTAGGTATGATACTGCAAATTATCAATCATTATCACTTTCACTGGATTAATTAATGACATAGTACTGTTGGTGCAGCTGAAAAAGCGTATGTTGAATGATAATGTGTGATCATTATGTTGTGCTCTCTCAGATGAGGTTTAATTTTTTAATCCAAAGGTCTCCATGATTAGGAGCTATAGGTTTCTCAAGCCATCCTTTGAAAATGACTCTCAAATTAAGTTAATAATAATATGCATAATATTTTAGATTCACATGCTTGTATATGAATGCAGACTATAGCTTTTAGAGCAGGACATGATAGTAGATTTTTGGATATTTCCTAACGCTTTGAAGCAACTGTGGTTAAAGCTGAATTAATTATTATAACACATGCAGGAGCTGGCGACAGTAGCTCAGTTGGTAGAGCATTGGCCTTTGAGCCTGAAGGTTGGGGGTTCGAGCCCACCGTAAGACCTACTTCACGACTCCCACTGATGACTGCTGTCGTTGTGTCCTTGGGCAAGACACTTAACCCCACTTTGCCTGAAGCTCCCACTGAAAGATCTCAGCTCCTGTGGACTCACCACCTGCAGGAGGATCAGTGAGGGGCTGGTGCTCTGTGTACTGGGTGGCATCTCTGGCCACCCCCCCGACCCAGAAATGGATTAAGGGGAAGAAAATGGATGGATGGATGGATGGATGCAGGAGCTGGTACTTTTCCACTTGTTTTGGTTTTTCTGAAGGTCGAAGCTACTGGCACCGTGGCTAATGCTGATTGGACTTCCTATCCTAAAATATCACATGCATTCTGTGAAACTTTGTTCGTGTCTTGTCTCTAACATCGACAATAAAACATGTCTTTTGTCTGTCTAACACAATCCCAGACTTTGACATTTTCATCAGAGTGTTACAGAGGAGTCAGTCCCCCCAACTAAGGCTAGCTACAGTATTAGTGTCATAGCTGCTATTTTATCACAAGCATTTGTCGCCCCCATTTTTGTCCCGTTTATCCCTCTGGAGATACTGCTGTAGATTCAGATTGAGTTTATTTGCCATCTGCAGTTTAAAACCATATCAGAATATTTTCGCAAAAATACCCAGTATGCCCAATAATATTTGTACATTTTTCAGATTACAATATATTAATTCAAATATAGAATGAAAACAAATATTATTGTGTGCATATGGTAGCTATTTCAAATTATGAATAAGATTTGTCAATACAGTTGCATATACATTTGCCCTAAGTTGAGTAGTAACTAGTTTCTCAAAAAGTATACTTTCATTATGAACTTTTTTAAAAGAAACAGTACCTGCCTAACAGCCGTAAGACATTTGATAATCTACATTTTTAAAAGCAGACCTGATCACCGCTTCTAATTAATAGCCTTGTGTTCACAGATGAATCAATAGCCATCAGAAGACTGTGCGGGCTCAAATACATCTCATGTGTTTGAAATTGTTAAGAAAGACACAAACAGATCAATGTCGGCCCTCGCATTATCGGCCCCTGAGCCTGGTGTGTGTGGGGCCCGACTGTGCACCCGGTAACTAGAGCCGTAACGCTAGTCCACTTAGCATATGGCCCTTTCCCTGCACAGAGGTAAACAGTCCCATGTATAGTGCTTCTATGGCCTCACTGCAGGACACACACAGTCAGCCGGTTACATACAGAGACTGATGTATACTCGCCGCAAGTTTATTCAAATATTGTCGTCATGAGTTAGATCTGGCCTTTACTGAGAATATTTGTGATTTGGTGAAGCAGTGGGACATTCAGTGATTTGGTTTTATTGTAGTGTCATGTCAAGTCAGATCCAATTTTGATCTTAAAGCTGAGGTAACCAACTATCAATCCAATCAAAATCCATCTGACTAGTTTCTTGCTCTCCAAACTGTTCGATCATGTATTTTTTGGCTTCTGTCACTTCTTTAGATCAGCTTTAGATCACTCTCACTCAGCCAATCAGCTCTATGTGTATAACTTTACACTATATAGAATGATAGATAGATATATTGGCATTGATATTGAAGCATGTAGAGCTAGCAACGAAACATAGCAGCTACTTATATTGTATTTGTGTGCTATCTGTGTGGTCTTACTACTGTCTTGTATATGCACTGCAACATTGAAATTTCCTCACTATTGGATTATTTGTTGAGTAAAATTATAAACCTCTCTCAAACACAACAACACTTTTTCTTTTCTTTGGCACCATTGCTTGTAGAATATTGTGATATGTCCATCATGCTCAAGCCAGGTCATGTGTAGCTGGAACACCCCTGCAGTGACCCCTACCCCCTTATCATCTCCAAATCTGTCACAACAGTCGCTGATGACGATATCAACTGTCAAAGCTTCAGCCCTAATGGTGGCTCCTCTTTAAAGTGACAATCTTAACAGATCAATGCCGCGACCAGGAGTCAGATTACAAAGCCCTGTCAGTGACCACACGTGAAGCCCAGGGATCCCCGAGACCGGTCACCGAGAGGAGCGAGAGAGACAGCCACTGACCACTATACCTGCAGCCTGACCATCGGCTTGACCTGGTAATCAGGCTAAGTGCTGCTGCAGCCATCTTTAGTCTGGTCAAGTCACTTACCAGAGGAGAGAAAGGAGAAGCGCTGAAAGGGCTAAATGGGCACATGGTCGCTGGACGTTAAAGAGTTAGATGCCGGGAAAGGAGCAGAGAGGTGGTGCTAGGCTAGGGCTTCGTCATAAAGGCCTGTTAGGGAACATTAGGTGAGGAAGAGGGTCGTAAGACTTCATGAATGTTTCAGCAGAATGTAGCGAGGTGACCGGGGGCGTTTGTCTTCCAGCTCCACTGTCAAAGAGGCATCATGATTCAGGAAAACAGTTAGAGGGCATGGTTTTAAGCGTTGCTGTATGGTACTTTGATGGATGCATATGTATTTGTCATTTCAAGTTTTACTCTCTGTATCCAACCATTTATTCTGATTCTGACCAGTGCTGTTTTTAACTTCACACATAGAGACAGCTGAGATTCAAACACACCCAGGCGGAAATGTCATTGTTTTTCCTGTTTTTTGGCAATAATTAATGAATCAAACATACTTTTCTTCCACTCATCAGTAGAGATTACATGAAGCCATTTTTTGCTTATTTATTAACATTGAGCGAGGAATTTACAGAAACTTGAGGCTTTTTCCAAGAAGAATGAGCAGCTTTACCTTCAGAGAGGATACAGAGCCTCACCCAACTACCACAAAGGACTCCAAGCTGTCATAGATGTTAGAGGGGAAATACACACACATAAGAACTGGGGGATGGAAACTTTTAATTTGGGTCAAAAGAGTTGGGTCTATTCAATATAATTTGAATTAGAAAATATTCACAATACATGGCGTCACACAAACACTAACACTCATAATCTTAAATATGGACAATAAAATCTGCATTTCTGCCCTGGGTTCAAAAACAACATTCTCACACCTAATGCAAACATTTTTTGTTTTTTTTAGTTCAGTCAGCACCCCAGGGCCCTCCAGGATGGGCTCCCCTCTGACCCCAGAGGCCATTATGAAGTGTGCGGGTCATGGTCAATTGTCCTGTGAACAACAGGAGTGTGCCGCTCGATCGGTAAAACCACCATCGCACACACAGCAACTGACCCTGAACACATAAGACCACTTTATCAAATTTAAATTGACAGTTTTACTTTGAGATTTGATCAACAACATGACTTCACTGCCCCAACATCTGCTACTAGTGGGTGCTAAACGGTGCTCTCATTATTTAATTATTTATTTATTCGATTTACATCATATTTTAATTGTTTCTAATTGTTACTTGAACTTAAGCAACAATTGTTTCTTTGTTTAACAACATATGGTCATCCAAATACTTAACTAGCTGTGTCTTCTTATTCAAGCTTTTTCTCCTTCAGTCTGAAAAGCAGTAAAACATATTTTCTTGGATTAATCACACAATTTGAGGACCTTCATTTTGGATTCCACTGATGACCTGTGACGCTTAAAAATCACAAATCTTCTCTTCTCTGCCCTGGAAAACCAAAGCAAATGTCATCTTCTGAGGCTCACTATAGATGTGTACAATCTGCTGCACAAATGGAGAGCTTAGTCAGGATTAACTGAGCTAACAGAGACAGAGCAGAGACAGAGCAGAGACAGAGCAGAGACAGAGCAGAGACAGAGCAGAGACAGAGCAGAGACAGAGGCAGAGACAGAGGCAGAGACAGAGCAGAAGCCTGAAGAGAGCAGAGCTGCATGTGGCTGACTGTCCATATGTTGTAAATCCCCCCTGAGGACCGGGGCAGAGGGAAGGCTGCTCTGTGCCGCTTGTAATGTGCATGAAATAACAGAGTCAGTGAGGTCTTGTATCGAGAAATATTCATATCCATTTCAAATTATTTAGTTTACTTAAACTTATACTCCTCTCACCTTATCATACCTCTGGACTCTTTTTTTTTTTTATCGATAATCCGCTTTTTATCGATAATCCGCTCAGTGAACTGTCTATTGTGCCCTTTTTTTCTTTTTTTTTACTTATTTGCCTAAGTTAAGTAGTAACTAAATTTGTGTTTGTGACTTCCTTACAACGAATGGCAATATGCACAATTCTGATTCTGATTTAAATACTGACAAGTAAGAAGACCAGGTGAGGGCCAAGGACAGATAGTTAGTGTTAAGGACGCACCAATACATCACTGGTATCAGATATCGGAGACAATACTTTAACATTTTGTTGAACCGGGAACTAAGTACTGTTTTGAGAAGGATGCCAGGGGACCAATAGTTGAACATTCCTGCTATAATTCATACTAACTAGAGAATGGCTTTTTTCTCTTTCTCTTTTCTTTAAAGGAAGCAACACAAAAAATGTGAATATGAAGAAATCATTATTGAAATACTATACTGAATGTCACCTCTTAATAATGGTGCATGCATGGAATCCTTCACAAACTCATTCAACAAGCAGAAAATCGCAAATGGTGAAAGGTAGTGGCAGTCCCTCCCACGTCCACATGCTCCGTCTCCACATGCAGCCGTGTGCCTTTTCTGTGGTGTAGAGCTGCAGCCGCATGAGGTCCACTGTCCTCCTGGTCCTAAAGCATCATGGGACGCCCCAGAGACTCCTGACATGTCCCCTGCGGTGAAGGACAGGGCCTCCGATGGGCTGTCGCTCAACATGGGGCTGCTCAGTCACAAGCCAAAAGTCCCAGGAGATGTGCGGCAAATGATTTATCACTTATACATTTACCATTATAGACGCACTGCTCTCATGTACATTGATTAGAACTGGAGGATGTTAAGACAGTATCATAGTGGGAGTATTCCTGAGTGTGAATATGTGTATTTGACACTATCTGTATGGACCACAGACTATGGCAAACCTAATCATTTTATATTGGATTTGTAGTCAATAATTTGATGGACAGTAGTTTACTTGGAGTGAGTAGTATTAGCAGTAGCAATCTAATTTTGATTTATCTCTGCTCAATTTGAACAGACAATAAAGATCTATTCTATTCTATTCTATTCTATTCTTAACTCATTGACTGCCATTGACGTATTTATCTGAGACCCTCCATTCCACTGAGGATTACAGGACAATAAAAATAGACACATTTTGACATTTCACATAGTCTTAGGAAATAATATTCTGTGGGTCTTGAGAATCAGTGAAATCATCAAAAACGGCAGACAGTCAATGAGTTAAAATGTCTACCTTAGTAACCACAGTTTTTTTAATATAATGAATTATTTGTAAAATGAAAGATAGATATTATGAAATCAAAAATCATCATGACTGTATAGTGGCAGTGGATATGTTAAGTGGCTGCTCAAGGAAAGTATATAATCATAGAACTACTTTCTTTCTCACCTATTTTCGCCTATTTTCGGGGTACTCAACTTTCAAACCACAATAAATTGAGCTACGTAATGAAATGCATCAACTATCGCTCTCAAAACAGTTTGGTTCTATCTCTAGTTTTCACATTTCACATTTTTTGGCCACCGTCACAATCTTATATTAGAGTTATTTCAGGCAGAAAAGTGAAAAAAAGGACTTTTTACTCAACCAAGCCATTCTCAACCCAAGCGTCAAATAGTGACTCCCAGGGCTCTTTCTTAGAACTATGCTAAAGATAAGTTGTTTTCTAATCAGACGAAGACAGCAGGAAATGGTCTGATTTGTGGCCATCATTCACAAGACTGCATTATCTATGAAGCAAAAAGGTTAGGTATCCCAGCTTTAATTCCATTGGACATACAGTAGTAGTAGTATTGATAAAAGTTCTTCACGTATGTATATGTAAATGTTAAGTCAGTCATGTGTTTGAGAGAGGGCAGCTCTGTAACCTCTCTTATCCACCACGGCTCACAGGAATAACAGTTGGGGTCCTTACAATGGCCGTGCGCATAAGGACACACAAATAGCACAGCATGAAGTATTGTAAAGTGTGGCGCATGCAGAGAGGAGCCCTAAAACACTTTCTAGCTTCATGAATCACAATCGGAAATGTTAAGCAACAAGTCCTCCTCGCCAACACGCATTAGAATTGACTTAAGGGAAGAGCCCACCACATATTTCTGATTTATGGCTTAATGGCATTTTCCTCTTTAGGCTATACTAAATAATCACAAAGGCGAGGAAACCGTTAAGAAAAAATGAATACAGGGGGATTCAATTTAGATAAAGACCAAAGAGGGTGAATAATTATGGATTTAAAGCTGGGGTATACCAACTTCAAACCTTGAGAAATGGTTCTATCACTAGTTTTCATACGCAAGTAGTTTGTGGCCTCGGTCACAGCTTCTTCGGGCTAGAATAGTGAGAAAAAATGGGCCACCCTCACTCAGTCTTTCTTACAAGTTGTTTGTTTATTTATTTCAAACATGGATAAGAGATACAATAGATACAATATAATAGATATTCACATTAAAAAATATATAATGTTTTCATCCAATCCCCTCCCAGCCAATCACGCACATACTACAATACAATACAAAAAAAAGAATCAAAACACTGCAAAACCCTCCAACAAAACAAATAACAGCCAATGACACAAACACGTACACACACACACAAACACACAAACACGTACACACACACACAAGACAAGAGACAAGACAAGACCAAGACACACCGACGCTCTCATTCACACAGACAACACCCATAACACTGACTAATATAGATAATCACAACATTTTACGTTAAGGCTCTTTTTTAGGGGGGCAAATAAACGGTACAGAACTTTAAACTTTTGTTGTTAAAATAGTAACTAAGGAAGTATCATAAATGTTAGGTCATAGCATCAATAAATGTGATCGTCTCACTCTAAAACATTGCACATGAAGACCTCTGTGACACCGGCTTAGAGACAGTTCCACTTGTATCTTAGAAAGCACGGTCCCGGTACTGTATCTGGAAGTACAGTAAGGACAAGGGGAGGAGGAGGGTGCAGCTCAAATATGCGTTCTCTCCTGGGACTGGACCCCCTCCTCCCCCCCCCCCCCCTGAAGAGGATCAGACCATCTGCCCACCACTGCTGCATCACCATCCTACAGGACACACAGACACATGGAGCAATATGGAGGAGACTTAGACAGTGTTTGATCTGAGTCCTGAGGAGAGAAAGAGATCTGACGCTGTGGAAAAAACACAAATGAAAGGTGTAGAACTCAAGTCGATCAGCGCAGAGGTCACCGGGTCCATTCACACACAAATCTCCACCAGTGAGGCAGAAATCATGCAGATGAAATAGGCTCAAACCCCCCCCCCAAAAAAGAGCATTTGCGACATTGTACCACTGTCTTTGGCCCAAAACAAAAAATATAATGTTGTTTTAACCCAGTATTTTCAACATTATGGAGAGTACAGTTGCTCTAGCAGTGGTGTTTGAATTGAGCGTAAAAATCTGCAGACACACAGCGACAAATTCAACTCCACTGCAGTGTCAGGGTTCGGCGGTTTCTCAGCGGGTTTGCAATATATTTTACACGATATCGAGTAGAATTACCTCATTAAAACCGACACCAACTACATTTTTCACTGTTTCAGATAATATTTGGTCCCAGTTAAATTAAACGTTGTAGCAGTCACTTCTGTTTTTACTGCGTACCAAATTTTTCCTTGATTCAGATTAAGATTATAGCATAACAAATACATTTATCAGTAGCCTACTTTGGTCTTCAGTACCATGACACAACGATGTGATTTCAAAATGACGTTATTCTAGCATTTACTCAAAACAAGATTGACATTTTTGGACATTTCCAGTCAGGCACAATTTATTTTTGCTGTAGAAATATCACCCATTTACGAATCTCTTCACTATAGAGCTAGACTGCGTCCAGGGGATTCATAACAACCAGTTTGACACGGGCACATTTCATTTTATTATTTAGGAAACACAAAAAAGTAAAGTGCACTTAGAAGTTCCCTCCACGTTAATCACGGCGTGTTCCGTCAGGTCTTCGCTGCTGCCGACAGGAGCAGATGGGCTGAGAGCTGCTGCGGTTGTTTCACTATAGACTCGAGGCCTCCACATCAGCCCAGCAGCGCATAAGCCAGCACACACACACACACACACACACACACAAACACACTATTGACAGCTATTAGGAGATCAATACAGACTAATACATCAGAGCACTGGACCACTCAGCTCCACTGGCTTAGCAGATGAGCAGCGGAGGAAGGAGACATGACATTATCCTCTCCTCAAACACAGCAGCAGAATGTGGTGACTGAAGAAACCCACACTTTGTGAACCTTGCCCTATTGTCCACAGATTGAGGCAAACTTTGACACGGAGGATTTCAATATTCTGCTGTCTGTCCGAGGTCAACACGGACACACTTTTTCAGCATTGTCTGCGCCGGTTAAGCCCTCTCCAATGCTCCACGTGTATGAATTCTATACTCCTGACATTCTAAAAGACTTATCAAGCCCCCAAGTCCCTGTAAATGTTCATTGTTTTACATACCCCAGTTTTAAGAAAGATTTTAAGAAAGAAAGTTTAGGCCTTCAATCACATAGTAAAATCACACTATGTTCAGTATGTTACAAGCCTCTATGGTTATTTTAAGCCTTGAATCATTGAACAACATTCTGAGACACTGGACGTTTCCATAATCGAACCAGATTTAAGAGCGAATTCTTCATTGTGTCATTTCAATTCAACAACTAGATGCTTTTTGAATAGTTTATGAGGCAATAGAAGCTAACAATGGATTTGATTAAGGACCTGTCTGCAGAAGTCAGTGCTTTTTCTATGATGTTTTGGTAGACGCTGAGGGAAGCTTTTGTATTTTTCTTTGGTATAAAAACATGTGAACGCTAAGAAAACTCTGGAGCTAAACATCTACAGTTCTTTTTTTAAGACATCCAAAAGAACCTCGAGAGAGAAATCATACACTTGCACACTTGGGTTTTTCAAATCAAGCTTGATGTAAGCCACTGAGAAATGAACACAAATGAGAAATGGACAATAATGGACAATACATAATCCTCTTGGCATGGACTGAATTTAGATTGAGCACACACTGCAAAAAGTAATGAAAAATAAGTCAAAAATCTCTCAAATTTGACTAAATGTATCTATGAGCACATTTTGACTGCCTTAAAACAAGATTTGCCAGTGAAACAAGCAAAATGATCTTGTTTTAAAAAGACACAAGAAATGTCTCTATTGGAATGAGAAAAAAATTAAGATAAAAACCACTCGATTCAAGCCTCATATTTTATAATTTTTTGCAGTGCAGGCCTTTCATAAAGTCACCCATTGCATCTGAAGTGGTCAAACCATGTCTCATTAGAGCAAATTACATGCTCTTTTATATTCTATATTCTTATAATTATATCAATTTTGAACCTTTCTACAGATTGTTTTCTGGAGAGATGTAGCCCACTCCTTTCCTTAAAACAGTGAGATTCCAATAAACGCCGCCTTTAGCCGAGCTCACTAACAACGTGAGAATGTGTGAAGCGACAGCTCATTCTACTTCTGATCCTCCTGTCTATCTGTTTTTGTCTTTGTTCTGTTTCCGTCCTTCTCCTCCACCTCCCGAGACAGGGAAACCACCGAGGGGAGTTTCTGTCCTTTACAAGCGCCTCATAATGTGGAGGTAAGGGGGCCGTATACTGTAGAGGGAGGGGCCCCGGGGCCGCTGGAGGCTGACCCGCACTTGTTCCAGGATCCACATTAGGACTGTTGGAAGCAGTTAAACATTGGGAGAAGAGCTGACCCCTGACCCTCCAGGCTGCTGCCCATGCGTTATAGAAAACAAACATGAAGTGGACTGCTCTGTGACAGTATATATAGTGGTGAGAAAGAATAAATGGCACAATATATGGTTTTATGTCGGGAAAAACACATGTCAGAAACGGCTAATCAACTTTCAGAATTGTTGAGATCGTTGTTATCTGTGCGGCTCTATAAAGCTCATCTGAACTTCTTTGACATTATAAATTAAATAGTTGGAAATAGTAAGTAAGTAAGTAAGTAAGCTTTATTTATATACCGCCTTTCACAGACCAGAGCCACAAAGCGGTTTACAATTATAAAAAATATATGGTAAACAGGGGGCCTTTTATTTGTTCCAGATGAAAGAGTCTTGTTAAAGTAAAGAATTATTGAAGAGATCAGACCACAACATGCCGTCTTCACCTCATTAGGAAACATGTTTTTCTTTGCATATGAAAAAATAGCCTGACGCTTTAGCTGAGAGCTGATTGGCTGAGAGAGCGTTGTTCTCTCATTTCCACTTTTCTCTCTGGATCTAAAGATGTGACGGAGGCCAAAAACACATGCATGAGGAAAAAAGTGTTTATGGAACCATAATGTTTGGAAGGCAAGGAACTATTTTGTTGGACTATTATTACATATAGGTAAATTTGGCCACACCAAATTTACCTATATGTAATAATAGTCCAACAAAATAGTTGAAAGTTACATACCCCAGTTTTAAGAAAGATTTTAAGAAAGAAAGTTTAGGCCTTCAATCACATAGTAAAATCACACTATGTTCAGTATGTTAAGCCTCTATGGTTATTTTAAGCCTTGAATCATTGAACAACATTCTGAGACACTGGACGTTTCCATAATCGAACCAGATTTAAGAGCAAAATCCATCGTCAATCCTCACTTTTTTTCTCTAGATAATTCTCAATATTCAGTTTATCAGCCATTATCCCCCAGTGTGAAGCAAAGCCAACGTAAAATAACCACCAAGACTGGACCTTTTTATACGGTATGTACTCCCTGCCCCCAACTGCTCCTTCCACAACAAACCAAACTCAATACGCAAATTCCGATCCAGGACACGTGAAGGATATGTGTGTGTGTATTTTTCGTAAAGTTTCTCTTCTTTTTGCCTCTGATAAAGATCTGATCGAGTGGCCGTAACACGTGTGGGCCAGTTGGTGTCAGGAGGGCAGATGTCAGCTCCTTTGTGCCCAGGACAGACCACCTCATTGCAGACTGCACATTGTCATTCATGGGGTCCACTGTGGCTCGTTCATTTCCACCAGGAGCGTGCAGACTGCTTTTATTGGCCAAGTCACTCACCGGTAACTACGTCCCACAATCAGGAGGCCAGAGGAATTATCATGCGCTTGTTTTTAATCACAAAAATGTCATGACAAAAACAGCCCCACAGATTTACATACAAATATATATTACATCAATTATATTATAGTCTGTGATATTTAGACGCGCTGCTTGTGACGGCGTTGGCATAAATACGACTGAAAAGAATAAGTTAGAATATGCATTATTGTATTTACAGAGAATGAGAACAAAGAAAACACAATTATAAATAACTTCACTGTGATAAAACTAACTCAGAGCCAACGCAAATTTAACTTTGTGTGAGTAGAGTCAACAATAAATATGAAATTAAATAGTGTGGCATTTGTATGTTGTTTTTTGATCAGTTCCAAGGCCGGTATTCTGGGCTGATAACGGCAAGTCCTGTGTAGCTGAAGTTAGGGCTGCTGCTTTTCTGCAAGTTTGAAGTTTCCTGCGGTGATGGCGGAAGAATCACTGTCTGCTCCAAAAGCTGTCTTTCTGAAAATACAACAAAAAGAACATTTATAAATACACTTTCAAATATAGGTTACAGGCTCTAATTATGGTGGCTCTTAATTTGTTAGAATAGAATAGAATAGAATAGGATAGGATAGGATAGGATGGAATTACCAAAAGGAAAATGTGTTTCTCAGCTGCAAAAAAATTATTCGATGACCTCAAGGTAACCAGAAGACAGGGAAAAAATTGTGAAATAAAAAAAATTATAAATAAAAATATAAAAATCATGAATTAAATCATGCAATTCCATGTCCCCGTTATACCCCCTCCCACACACGCTGGTGTTATGAAGTCTAATATTAAATCAATGCATTTATTTGTTTTATTTTGTGAGTGTCCATATCGACTATGGAAGTGAGTCTTACTTTTGTGGCCCTGCATGTGTAACTGGAGCTCGGGCTGGTCCTGGAAGGAGGCCCCGCAGGTGTCGCAGGGAAAGGCCTTCTCCCGGGCGTGGGTGCGGCGCACGTGGCTGTCGTGAGCGGCGTGAGAAGCGAAGGCCTTCCCGCAGTGCTTACACTTGAACGGCCGCTCTCCCGAGTGCTGGCGGATGTGCGTGCGCAGGATGCTGGAGGCGGTGAAGGCCTTCACGGGAAACACAATTGGACAATTATTATTATTATTATTTTTTGTTATTATTATTATTATTATACTTGGGAACCTGTCTTTTTAATTGTTGAAGTCAGATTTTAAACTGAACAAAATTAATGACACGGCTTGTTCCATTATGTATTTGGCGACTATTTATTATGCCAAAATACAGGAGCGTTTGAGGACCCTCCTGAAAACGAGATGATGCATCTCAAGAGGCTATTCCTCGTAATAAAGATATGTTAAAGAAGAAAAGAAGAAGAAGAGCGTGTGAACAGGGGATAAGAGGGACAATTGCCCATATGGACCAATCGTATGCGTTTCATGTGTGTATTTATTTGATTTGTTTAACATATACAAAATACACAGTCACCAATGAATTTTAATGTGTTCATGGAAAACTCTTCTACACACTCGTTTGATTTTCTTATCAACTGATGCTAAATCAACAACGTTTCACAACAACTGCTCTTGCAATTTTGGGATATTCGTAATTAAAACAGATTTGAGCGTATACCTGTTTAGTGTAGGGTGGAGTGGTGAATCGGCCTATCTGTTTTTAGTAATTGGGAAGTGAATAGTTTGATCCCAAGGCTGCAGCTTTGAATATGTGATAATGTTGGTTGAAATGTTGTGTTCCACTGTCGGGTCAAGAAGAAAAGGAATGAGCTTAACAAACCCCACTGAGGGTTTATAAAAAGGGGAGTATTTCTGCCGCAGAGAACAAAACGCAAGACTCATCCCACAGCAATAAATGTTGGAGCAGTCAGCCCTCACAAAAGGACGGCCGTGCATCTGGCGATAATGAGCCGCTAAGTGTGTCCGTGGAGCGTGCCCGAGGTGGGGCCTCACACACAGACTCCAGGCAAGTGTCCCCTGAAACAAGCAGGGCTAAAGGAGCGTGTGGAGACCCGGCTTCAAACGGGTTAAGTGAGAGATGAGGCGTGGGAGCCCGCAGGCCGCACTTAAGGCCTTCTCCAAAACCATACAGCCCCAAAACCCATGCATTTTTAATCACGTAAATGACACTATCCCACTATGGCCTCGTTACAAACTCAAATATAAAGCAGAGCCAAAAATATAACAAGCATGATATAAACGATATTGAATAAATGATCAAATTGTACCTTATTACAGTAGACGCATTTATAGGGCCTTTCTCCGGAGTGCACGCGCATGTGTTTGTTGAGACTTGAGGACTGGGAAAAACTCTTTCCACAAACAGAGCACTGCACAGGAAAAAAAACAATATTATCAAAACAAAATCAACGTATCTTATTTAATGCACAGACAAATTAAAAACATTGCATAACATTTTCTCATAAGAACCAGGAGCTGTCCCTTCAGCACCACCTCCTGCACGGTGCCTCTTTACGCACGCATGAGTCTCACCTTGTGCGGCCTGTGTTTCTCGTGAACGTGGAGGATGTGGATTCGGAGCCGGTCCCTCTTCTCGAAGGATCTGTTGCAGAGATGACAGGGGAACTTTCTGTCTCCCTGATCCACGCAGCGGGTGTACTTCAGGTGCTTGTCTCTGTAATACTTATAGGCGAATACTTTTCCACACCGGTCACATTTGAAGCCCTCGCCAGTATCTGTAATTGAATGAGAATGTTTAGTATATTCCATGAGAATTTTTCATTTAACACGCGTATTCCTTGTGTACGGACCTTCAGCGGGAAGAATAGAGGAGTGGTCGTCTCTGCTGTCTTTCAGTGTGAGAGGGATGCCCAGAAACTGCATGTAACAGTCCCCGTACCAGACCAGCAGCTCCTGGCCGGCTCGGATCTCCTTACAGGCTTCGTAGAAGATCTGGCCCTGGACCTGCACCGCCGTGAGGTTCTGCTCCTCCGGGAAGCGCGCGCACTTTACCAAAGACATCCAGTTCCCACAACCGCCGCGTCCGTCCACGAAGTGACTGAGGCGGCCGTTCTCGAACACCTGCAAGAGCAACATCTGTGCTTAGATCCAAAAGATCCAAAACACAATCACACGGTTTTAATATTTGACGAGATTACCTCCCACATCAAAGTGTTGTCGTCGTAGGTTTTGATCTCGCTGGTGTTGACCACTTTCCCCTGGAAAGGGCCGAAGCGCGCGCCTTTGGGGACGTTTTTATCCGCGAACACTCCACAGTGCGTCACGCTCGTCCAGGACACTTGTAGAATGGAGAGCCCTGAATTAAAACAGACAGAAAATTAGATTCCTGCATTATGGACAATATTTTCTATCCAATATGTTTACATTATATTATAGAGAAGATTGAACGATGATTAATTTAATCATCAATTTCACGCGTACCTTCTGGCAGATCCAGTGAATCTTTGTCCAAAGGAAGAACTTCAGGCACTAAAAAAGAGAAGAAGAGTTTGGCTTTCACATCCATAATTACAGACTATTTACAATGCTTTTTCGCGTTTCTCACCCGAGCTGTCCATCAGAGACACCCCTGAGATGGCGTGTCCCACGCCGCAGTCCTTGCTGGTAGAGTAGCCGTACAGCACCGTGAACAGATCGTCCTGACTGAAGTTATAGGTTCTTTTTTCTGAGCTCCTGTCCGCGCTCCTTCGCTCTTTGAGCGGGGAGGCCGCGGCACAGGACGCCGTGGAGGAGGACCTGCTGGACGGACTGTGTTTGAACTCTGGGGAGGACAGAGGTCCAGCAGCGTGTTCGGTCACCACCGCGGCCATCTCCTCGGGTTTGGGATAGAGTGCGTGTCCCTGGACCATGTGGCTCACGTAGGGGCTCAGCATGTGCTCGTGCAGCAGGGGTGCGTGTGTGAAAGGCGCGCTCCCGTTCACAGCCTGCGCACTAAAGTGGAAAGACGCGTCTGAGACAAGGCGGCCGAGCGACTTGAGAGGATGCAGCAGGTTGTGAGGCCGAGGGAAGAAATCCATGAAGGCGTGAGGGGGCATGGGGCCCGGGTACAGCCCGCGGGCCGGGCTGCTCTTCAGTGCGCCCGGGTGGAAAGCCTTCAGCGGCATCATGGACACAGACATGGTGAGGAGGAGGGAAGATCAGGGCGAGTGTCCTTCAGAGAACAGGAGAAGGGGCAGGTATAAAAGTTTAATGCAAGAAAAGTAAAAGAGGAAACAGGAGCTTTACCGCACATCAATCAATGACTCTAAATTTGTCCTTTTACACCATTCTGACCTATTGACCTAATTGGTAAAAGTGTAGGTCTGTGTGTACTACACGAACATACAATACATCTGTCAATTGAGAAATCGTTGTATTACAATAGCTTATTTTCATCCCAGCAGGCCACACACCTTAAACACCTAAACAAAGAGGTCAAAATCACAAGTGTTCCATCAGCTGGTAAACAGCGCGACAAATCAGGGTCAACATCGGGCCAGAGCAGAGGTCAACATTAATGAAGCGCGCTATAGACTTTACAATGACCCTGGTGTTCAAAACAGAACCAACACAGCGGTCGTTAGAGGTGCATCAGAGTCACATCTGAAGGAATAAAGATCATTTACCAACTGTCGCGATAAAGTACATTTTCAGTGCTGCAGGCTGTGTAGTTTTCAACTTCCAGCTTAGTCTAAATGTGTGTAAGATATATAAAATGCTTACCTTGTTTTCTAAATCTAAGATTCTCGAGGTTCCAGTGTCATATCCACAGGCAGAAGCTCGGGTGTCGTGCGTCCTGCTGTCTGGGATGCTCTGGTCATCTGAGGGCACCTCTACTGTATACAGTCCAGGCCTCGCTCCTCATTGGCCACAGCCTCATGCATGTCAATGAGCCTCTCCAAGCCTGTCTTATGCACTAACCAACCCGCCCACAGCCCGCACCTTTAACTCCAGCTTTCTCCCTAATGCAGTTCCATAAGACCCCCACTCAGGCGCAGACTGGAGGCCTGTGTGCAAGAGACCTCACCGGGAGCCTCTGGTCTGTGATGGAGCCACGGAAGAAGACGATGCACAACACAAGAGGCCGTTTCTTGATTTCATGAATTCAGCGGAACGCGTTCGTATTCATGATGGTACATAACACATGTGAGAAAACATGGGGCTTGGAAGGATATCGTTGTGTCATTTATGATTCATGATAAAAATCTAATAGTGAGATTGAAGGAAGGATTGTTATCTTTTATGTACTGTGATTATTTATGATTTGAATATCTGGTTTTCTCTTCTTGCTTTGTTCAGCACATTGAGTTGCCCTGTGTATCAACTGTGCTATAGAAAGAAACTTACCTGCCTGATATGTTGGCAAACGCTGTGTTTGTCCATTTCTGACGCAGAGGGATTGTTTCTGAAATACATGCAGTTGTCTTAACAGAAAGTTGAGTCCTGTTCAAGCAACATTTCGTAAACAAATCACTCTATGCCGTTTTTATCTTGGATAAAACATTTGATTTTTTTGTTTTACATACTGAGAGTTGATTGGCTGAATAAAGGGTGGCATCATTTCTCTCTGGAAAAGTTGCTCTGAAGATGTGACAGAGGCTAATAATACATTCATGTGAAAACTAGTGTAGAACCAAACAGTTTTGAAGGTGGTTATGCCTTCTCCAGCTTTGTGTAACAGAGGTTTTTATAAAAGTAACTAATTAAGGACTTTTAAATGGTCTTTTATTGTATTGTTTTGAAGAAAAAGTCCAAGCTGAAAAATGGTCTGAGATATTAATATGAAAAAAATAAGCCTATATTAGCTGAAGCAATTGGACACAGTGAATCCCTTGCTAATCATTCAATTCATGGATACATTTTATTCACTTTCTATAGTTATACATCTCATACATCCACATTTCCGAGTTCAGATGCCTTGTAAATTAAATGGCCACATGTATTCTCACAAAAGCAGAGCAAACAAAATTATTGCAATAACAGAATTGTTTATTTACAAGGCAAATAGCATCAGCGAAGCCATATTAGTTCACAACTTGCATAACTGTGGTTTGAACTTCTCTTATATGTCTAACTTTGCATAAACCGCTCACACACACACTAAAGGTACAAAGGTGGATGTACATACAGTGTGATTCCCATGAACAATGCTGAAAACCCAAACCGTGAGGAAAAAACAACAGTTAAGCTTTCCAATGAGAAAGTCCATAGACTATTTTACATATTGCTTCAGTATCCCTTCAGTTTATAGATGCTCCAACCAACAGTGACGAGAAAAAAAGTCCACAATCGCAGTACACAAGAGCAATGACAGACAATTTGTGTGTGACCATCTTCAGCAACCATTCAATATTGTACAAATTTATACAGACACAAGTGTAATGTACAAGAACAAAGACAGACAATCTAAGGCAATATGCTAGGGTTTTTAGCATTTTAACGTTGCGTCTTAGCTCTAAAATTGGCAGACAATACAAAAGGGCATTTCCAAAACACATAAGCGGAAAAATAGTTCTGTTTTGAGTGGCCTGAACGGTTGTATGATGATAGGGGCAACATTTAAGCATTTGCTCCCGTCCTCATTATAAATGCTAAAAAATGCACTGCTACCACATGGCTTTTCAAAATGGTGACAATCTTTGGGAATTTTTCAAAGGGCTTGCGCATCACTCTTTTAAATGGCTCGAAAAGGCTAGGCTCGTCAGTATTTTACAATCAGATTTATCAAAAGGTGATGAGCAAAATGTATGCAATTTATGCTACAACTAATTCGGAATTTTAACGACAACAAAAATGGCCATCTTTGCATCTTACGCTCCTTCCGTAGACTTTATATGACAATACATTCAGAATGGTTCAATCCGATGCATCTCACCACGTCAAATGACATCATACATGTGTTTTCGCGGGCCAAAAGTAAGATATGGAATCTAATTGAAAGATTGAATATTTGGCTTGCTCCACGTCTGTCCTGGGTTAAAATAGCTCATATAAAAAGTTTTGCAGAAAATTTGAGGTTAGAGAAAGTGACTTGATATTTTGTGAAGATCAAACTGAGAGCAACACTTTCTAGAACTTACTGCCTGAGCTCATAAAATATGGCTAAGTGACCTCTGCTATCAATGACCAGCTGGAGGCTCCCTCTCCGTCCAGCGCTGCATAAGAGAATGGAGAACGTATGCTTGAATGTGTAGTCTTTCTTGGTACAAACTGCAATAAAAAAAAAAGTTTTTTAATACTGCATCCAAACGCATAGCAAAAATTATGTCCTTTTTTATTCAGGAACCTGTACAAAAATACAAAAAACAAAACAAAAAAAAAGCTCACAAGATTCTCAAGTAATCGTTATTGCTCATTTTACATCACACCAGAAACAAGTTTGCAACTAGCAGCTCCAGACGACATAGAAAGCACACTTCTGATTTTTGTATGGCTGTGTTGAATTTGCCCTGTCATTTTTAAAACTTTTTGTGGTGTTCTATGCTAAAGGCAGAGAAGCAAAGCGATAATCTGTACACTGTATACACCACACCCCCCCACGGCCCCCGCGCTCACGTACCCGGGTATGACCCACACACCGCCTGCCCACGCCGAGAGCGGGCCAGACCACACATGTTAGCCTTCAGGAATCAAATAAATAGAAAAAAAGCTTTACTCGTCGTATATGTACAATCTCTGTAATTGTATTTGATTTTGACATCTTCTGAAACTACAGGACCAAAGTATTCTCCGTCGCTCAGGTTTGTAGACTTCGCAGAAAGAACCGCAACCACTGTAACGGTTCAACTTATGTTTAAAAAGTGCCTCGTTCACACTTTTACAAATAGTTCTTTCATTGCTACAAGGATAAAGAATCATCTAAAATAATTAAAATGAGTCTATACAGAAAAATAAAACTTAATTTAATACACTATATAAACCTCTTCACTAAATTAATCTATTCTTACAAATCACTAGTCCACTCAAGTCATTCTGCAGTGTTTTTCAAGACCAGTTTGTTCAACCATATCTTCATTCATTACTTGATTCTTACAGGGAAAAATAATAAGAAAAGAATAAAACCTGGTTAAAATCATGAACAGCAAAAAGGCAAAACAGCGAACCGTACGAGCTCCCGTTCATAATTCAGTCTTTGCTGCTGTTTTGGATCTCTGTGGAACATCATTTTTGAGATGAGATTGTGAATGGCCGTTGTGTCCACAGAGACGAATACATTCATCAGCAGGGGAGAGCCCGTCCACCTCGGCCCCGCCTCCCAAACACCAGGGGGCGCCCTCGCTAAGTCACTCCGCGGTGAATGCGGCCGGACAGACTGGCTCAATGTGGGGCTTTCCTTTGAGGGCGCCGGGCGTGAGATGAGGTCCCCCCAGAGCCCGTCTTCGGACCGGGTCCAGTTGATCTCGGGCAGGGTTGGGACGCTCAGGACGGCCGGGCTGATCCAAGGGGCCAGTTGTTTTGACGCAATCGTACAGTTTTTAAAGGGCTCCTTGCACCAGCTGATCATTGAGATTCATGTCCATTACTCCATGAGGGTCAACAGTACTTCTGCAAAAGAAAACGGCAACAATCAGTGACAGATGAGACATTTTAAAAGAGCATTTCTATTTCCACTGGTGTATGTCTGTTCAATAACAAACTCTGTTGTGGAGCAAATACTTATAAGCAGTCAAAAAATGTTCTTGTGTGTTCAAATAAAAACGGTTGCCATTTCCCTGTACGTTAAAAAGATCTCTTATTTTCAGTAAAAGGAGTTTTTGCACAGTAGGAACGTTTTTAAGTTCTTGAAAGCCTTCAGACATAATAGGAAATGAGGAAAATACTTTGGAAAGTACCAACCCCAGACCAGGAGCTAAAAAAATCCTGATGAATCTACTTCTAATGCACACTAGTCTGAACCCATAAACATGAACCTGGATATTGCTCATAAACAGTGGGGTAGAAAAAAAAAAGACACTAATCAGGATCATCATGTTGAGACCCAAAAACATACTTTTGTAATTCGGAATGAATCAACATTACAGACTTATGTCCCGACTGACCCCACGTCCAAACTAAATTGCAGAACATACATCTAACTATAAACAACTAGAAGTCACCCAGGAACACACAATCTGCCTTAAAACCAGCGAGGAAAGGTTTAAGCGGGCACTAATGGTCTAACGGTAAATAATTGAAATAATGTAAGTGCCAATATATTTCTATATTAGCAGCATAGGACATAAATCAGTCGTCAGATAAACTGTGTTACAACAGTTCCAAGTGCAGACAATCAAACAACAGCACCTTGGTTAAATATTAATGGGCCTTTATTGGACTTAAAAGCCTCTGGGATAACAGTGGTGGACACTACGTGCAAATGATAATTCCAGGGAGAAGATTGCTTCGGCCCTCTGGACATGTGGGATACTTTGTTGTTGTCGTGGTTTTTTTTCAAATTTTATATATATTTTTTTTATGTGCAATTTTTTTGTGAGTAAAGTGCTATTCTGGTAACAAAGCCTTAAGCCACAATACAAAGTTGGTCATAGTTTTGCCCATGAGTTCAGTGACCATAAATAGACTGTCTATACGCCCTATATACGGTCTGGCTCTAAAGTGCCCACTGCTAATTACATCATTGTCCTGTAAGTTCTAGCCATGAACCAGATTGCTGACTGTTGACTAAATTATTTACTAGCACAGAAAGTAAGTTCAATAAATGTGCCCAAACACTTAGGAGTCTTAAGATCTGATGCAGACAACTTTGAGAAAGTACAGAGAAGCTTTTAGTTTTCTCGGTCCCTAGATAAATACAAATCTACAAGAGCTGTATTTGTGTGTGTTAAAAAGTTTACAACTTTCCTTAACAGCTAAAACGTGTCTCTTAACAACTTGATTGAATCATCTCTGTGGAGCCTCTCTCTGTGGAGCTTCTCTCTGTGTGGAGCTTCTCTCTGTGTGTGGAGCTTCTCTCTGTGTGTGGAGCTTCTCTCTCTGTGTGTGGAGCTTCTCTCTCTGTGTGGAGCTTCTCTCTGTGTGTGGAGCTTCTCTCTGTGTGTGGAGCCTCTCGCTGTGTGTGGAGCCTCTCGCTGTGTGTGGAGCTTCTCTCTGTGTGTGGAGCTTCTCTCTGTGTGTGGAGCTTCTCTCTCTGTGTGGAGCTTCTCTCTGTGTGTGGAGCTTCTCTCTGTGTGTGGAGCCTCTCGCTGTGTGTGGAGCCTCTCGCTGTGTGTGGAGCTTCTCTCTGTGTGTGGAGCTTCTTTGTGGAGCTTCTCAGACGGGGATCGCTCAAAATGCACTTATTCTAACCGTTTTCTACGAGATCTCAACTTCAAATCCCTCAACAACAATTTATTCAATCGTGAAATGTTTTTTCACACATGAAAAGTACCTGCTCTTGGCCCATAGAGGGCAGCCCTGGGGAGGGACCAGAGCCCATCGACGTGCCACTCATCTGCCCCAGGGCGCTCATGGCACCGGGCGCCATGGTGTTGGTCATGGGGTTCATACCGGTGCCGTTAAATATGCTGCTGCTGTTTTGCTGTGGAAATTGTGGTGAGGACTGCTGCTGTGAGAACATGCTGAGAAGTGAAGAACAATGGAAAACAGTAAGTAATAAAGTCATTACATAAGAACATAAGAAAGTAGTAAGTAAGTAAGTAATCTTTATCTATATACCGCCTTTTCACTGCAGATCTGAGTCTCAAAGCGGTTTACAATTGTTAATTTTGGGCATTTGTTTCTCGCCAGTACAGGAGGCGCATGCCAGACCTATTGTACATATTTTTAGTGGTAGGGGAAACCTATGCAGACCCGAGGAGAACACGCAAACTCCACTCAGAAAGGCCCTGGTCCGACTGGGATTCGAACCCAGGACCTTCTTATTGAGAGGCGAGAGTGCTAACCACTGCCGCCCGTGGTCACAGATTGAAAAAAGTTCAATCTGTGACCAAACAAAACTGAACCACACTTAAATAATGAAAATGAAAGTAAAGCCCCCGCCCCCACTGTAAACAGCTCTATTGCACATTATAATTACATCGTAAACAGCTACAACTTTACCTGTTTCCTGACATATTTCCCTGCGGCCAACCATTCATGTCAGGGGAGCCCTGGTAGGCAGTGTTTCCTTGGCCCTGTTGCATCATGGGGGATTGAGTGTGTGTCATACGTGGCGAGAGCAGTGGGCTCTGAGGTGTGCCTGGACCCCCAAATCCGGCATCCGTCTGCTGGCTCATACCTGTGGGAAGGCCACCACAACATGAGGCAGAGGTCGCCACACAAAGAGCAACACAACAACATGTACGAAGGTTAGTGGAAACTAAGGATCAGGCAAAAGTTCAATTCTAAGTCATATTTACGAGCCATGGAAACTACAAGCAACAAACAAGACTGCAGGACAGAGGACATACAGCTGTGATTGCATGGGAAATGATACTAAGTACTACTCAGATGAAAAGATTAAATTCAATTATTGTGATAAAAAGGGATATTCAAATCTATTTAACATGTAGCATGTACATGTAACACTGGTTCTCAAAGTGGGGGGCAGGACACAAAATACAATCAATTAATACTATGAAATTATGGCCAATCAAACTACAACTCTCCAATGGATTGGAAAGTTTTAACAATTAAAATAACTTTATCCAGCAGTGGGGTGCGCGAGCTGATTCCACATACATTTTGGGGGGCCCTGAGTAAAAGTTTGAGAACCACTTGTGTTGAAACAGCCCAGCATCTTCTGTGCTTTGATTAATCAGAGGATGCCCTCTGGTGGAGAAGTAGTGAACGTACAATCACAAGGAACCAATTTAAGTTGGCATTGTGAGAAGAGATGTAGTATTAGGCAAATCTGTGCAATAAGCAGTTAAATAATAATCAAATGAGAGCAGCAAAAGCTGATGAATAGGCCCCTACAGACAAAATGGACACATGGCACACACACAGCTGCAGATGTGTGTCGTGTCAGGAGGCAGTACCTGAGTTGGGAAACTGAAAGGCACTGTGCTGCATTTGGGGGCTGAGTACGGCCCCGTACTGTCCGCCCATCATGTTTGTATTTCCCATCAACATCTGAGAGGAGGAGGTGGTGGAGGAAGAGGAGGTGCCATGCATGTGGAGCTGAGGGTTGGGGGGCAGAGAAGGCAGGCTGGGGGAGAGAGGGGAGGAGAAGGGGCTGGTGGGAGGAGGTGGTGAGGCCAGGCCTGTACTGGTACCGTAGCTGGGTGGGTAGGGGAACTGCTGGGGGTTGGCCTGTGGCATCCTGGCATTGCTCATGCCTGCGGCTGCCATGTTGGGGGGCAGGTTGAGACCCTGAGCCCTCATGGCCATGCTCCTCTGCTGTTGGACCTGCTGCACCTGCTGCGCCTGCTGAACCTGCTGCTGCTGTCTTTGTCGCAAGTGATTACTGAGCATCTCACGCTGGCGCTGGGCTAACATCTGAGCATTGATGGTCCCCTGCACAGAAAGGCATGTGTGAAATATGACACTTCAAAAACATGAATTACAACAGTTAAAACCTCTGAGAGAAACGGTACCTGGTTTGGAGCACTCGCTCGAAGAGGTAGGTTGACATTGGACACACCGCTCATCTGTGACATCATGGGCTGTCGGTTCTGGTAGAAGGGGGCATTCATTAACATAAGTCTTCATTTCCTTTAAAACCATTTTTAACAATTGTATTAAAGACCTAGCCTAACGCTGGGTAAAACTGTCCAAACTCTGAAGGTGTGATAAGTGCAGTGTGGTGGGTCCAGATACCTGCTGGGCCTGCAGCCGGTGCTGAAGCTGCAGCCGTAGTGCATTGGGCTGGTTGGGGACTCCTGCAGGCCTCAGACCAGGGCGCGTCTGCATTCTCATCATGGGATATCCTGGCCGTTGACCCATCTGGCCTTGCATGGGGTGGAAGCCTGGCTCCTGCATGGGATTATTGGGATAGCCCCTCTGTGCCATGTGGGACTGTGGTGGAAACTGTTGTGAATACAGCGGGGGCTTCTGCTCCAGCATCATGGCAGCATCCTGTGTAAACTGATCCGGCTCTATAGACTGGCTCTGAAACAGAAAACATACAGGTTTAAAAATGAAGCGTGAACGTATTTGACAAGCCATGCTAACACAAGGCGGTGAGAGGACTAGAGAGCAGAGCCGCTGTACCAGTGCAGGGATGCCGAGTGCGCGGTCAATCTCCTCTAAACCGTCAAAGTCTTTTAGTGCAGTGTACAACTGGGACATCAGTGCGCCCTCATCCACCGGCCCACTTTCACCTGGACCACACAGAAGCTCCTCCTGGGAAGCAGGATGCACCGACCTGTGCAGAAAGTACAAGCAATCCTTAAAAATCCACTGCATTGTATAAGTTATGTTTATGGATTGATGTGTTTATGTTTTTTACTCGCACCGGTTTTGGACAAAGGAGGTCTGGTCGATGGGCATCATACTATCAGGCCAAGGAGCAGTTTGATTGGGAGGAGCTTGCTGCTGTGAGAAATGGTGTCCAACCATTGTTATGTCCATCTCTGGTTGAGCTGAAAATCCAAATGAAAGTTGTTCACGCTTAAGTCTTAAAGGGATAGTGACAATTTTTATCTCACCATTCGTCATGGATTGTAACATTTGCCTTGGCCCTGATTGGCTGTTAGGTCTCATAGCGGCAGCATTAGGTCCCATCCTGCCCTGCATGGGTCCCTGCTGCTGTGCCCAGGCCTCCTGGTGCTGCATACCTGCACGTTGACCCCCTGGGTGTCCTGGAGAGGAAGAAAACCATTTCAGGTCATTATTTCCGGTTGATTAACATACAACATTATAGAAATAACAAACATTAAACTCACCTGTCCCAACCATGCCAGCTTGGTTAGGAATCATATTGTGTGATCCCATAATTCCTTGCTGCTGTTGCATCAGCGTGTATGGGCTTGTAGCTCTCATCGGATACTGTAATGATGGCTGCTGTGGTGACGCATTCATGTCCAAAGACATACTTCTGACGGGGAGGCCTCGGCCGGGTTGGTTTGGTCTCATACCTCCAAAGTCTGCACACAAAAACAGTTCTTGTACGTCCTGTGCTGTGAACTATGTGTTTGATGATGTGGACGTGTGTAATGTGGACTCACTGGCTGGACCCAGGCCTGGCCCCAAGGCTCTGTGCTGCTGTGCCACCAGAGAGGGGTTGGCTTCAGACATCTGCAGGATGTCGTTGATGATGTTCTGTTTTTCCATTGGACTGGGCAATGACACTGGCCGCTGTTCAAAGTGAGGCGGAGCATTCTGCAGGTCGTTCAGGATGTCGTCTAGTTCTGACGGCTACAGAGACATCACAAACATATATGTCCATGATAATATGCAAAGATGCACACAGAAAAAATACAAATGGACGGCATTAGGTTAAATCTAACAACACTGAATACAAGTAACCTTCTCATATCTACGTGATATGAACAACCTTGGCTGGAAACTGAACTAAACCAGAACATACTATAATCAAAAGAGAAACAGATTTGTCCACATGCATTTCAGCACAGACAGCGTTATGTGCTAAACTCGGAGAGCAGTAGTACATTCTGTGTTGTATTACAATATTAGAGGCTCAATTGTCTGTACGGTAAACCTTGGACTGGTTCATACTGTGATACAAAGGCAAGGTCGTGTTGATTGGGAGTTGTTATTGTAATGCTTCATTTTGTGATATAGCAACAGTTTGACAAAGCAGCACATAATATCATGTTTAGTAGGTTACAGATACTTGGCTAAATTACGAATATTACAAAAGCAATGACTATTTCTTTGTTGCAACACCAAAGGGAATAAAGTTATATAGCAACAATCACATGTAAGCGTGCATGTATTTACACGTTTTTACAGTACATATTACCAATTGATATCATGCAATAATTAACAATTCTAAGATACAAAACTACTACAAACAATCAGAAACGAGAAATGCCTTCTGAAAAACTATTGCTAGTAAATAAAGTGCACTACCATGTACGACCACCAGAGAGCAGCACATTAATCTATATACATCCACTTGAAAAAATGTACTAACCAGTTTCAGTGGTGAACTACAGTAGCACATATTTCCTACACAGCTGCCGTATAGCTACCAGCCACTTGCTAATATACACATTGACAGATTAAGTAAATGTGGGTGGGATTTTAATCAAGTATCAAGATCTTTTGCCTTTCATTATTTGCACTCCTGTCTTTACAAACACATTTGGCTTTGAAGGTTTGATGGAGCCGCCCGGCACAGGATATGTGGGAGAGCTCTGGAGTGGAGCAGTGGGTGGGGGGCGGTGGTGGGGCAGTGAAAAGCCCTAATGAGGTCAGGAGTGATGTAATGCTCCGGTTTGCTCTTCTCTTCCTCCTCCTGCCCTTTCTTTTCTCTTCACTCCTTCCCTGCCTTTACAATTAAGGGCTCATATTGCGATCAATCCATGTTACAACGTACGTGAGTGGACAGCAGCCATTACGTGCCATATACCTTTGAATATTTTCTATTCTTTCTAGCTCTTAACTATTTTAATAAAAATTAGCTTTGGCCTAAAAAGATCAAATTATGTAACATTTTAGAAGATGAAGCATTAGTCTTCCTTCAACCTCAGACTTGTTTATGTGCTTGTAGTCCAGGACAGTAGCAGCTGAGTGCCATGTTGACCTAGTAACACTGGCATTTAAAGGAACTGAGAACTGTGTGGGTGAAGCAGCAGTGTTGTTGTAAAGGACAGAAAAAAAGACGATTTCAACACCAAAGCACTGGCACTAAAAAAAACTCCGCAAAATATTTGTTTGACGCAATAAAGCTGAAATAGTAGGTCTTGGTGACATTTATGTATAATAATCATCGGTTAATCACTCTACTCTTGGCACTTTACAACTGTCTTAGCAATAAATGTTTTCTTCTTTCAACTACCCTCCCCGTACACTACATAAACATTCAACTATTTCCATTTATTATTAGTTTATTCAACAGGGACAAGGCATATTTCATTCCTGTCGATTTCATTGGCTGTTGCTAACATGTCAAAGGGTCTACTACTAGGGAACACGTGTTGGTACGGTCATCGATAAAGCAAACTACTAATTTTCCACTTCAGCTTGTTTGTCATTTCACTTTAAACCCACATTGGAATATTTACTCATAAAAAAGAGCAGTCACTAAAAGCAATAAAACATTTCACAGTGTGAAACAAGGATATCACATTTTGACTCATCCAAACAATCTATTAGGGACACGAGTCCACTGTAGAGAAACATGAGTGGACTTTCACCAGAGGAGCCAGCCATCACACATGACTGAACTGCAATATGCCAGAGATACACACCCACTCACATGCCTTTAAAGAACTTGTAGCTCATGCGGCAAATGACACAACGCCACGTTGGTGGTTGACTATATCTTTGGGAAAGGAATGTAGTAAATGTGAATTTGCACTTCAGTAGCTCAGAACTAATTAATTTATGTTGCTTAATTAATGCCATATTAAAAGTCACAATGCTACAGTTCTGTTCTCTGTGATTCTCCATTGTTCTGAGTGTTGCTCATGCTACAGGCTCACCACTCCCTCTCCCCTTTATCTCCATGGCAGCAGAGAGGACATGCAGGAGCATATGGCTCATCATTTTCACTCTGCCTGCCGAGGCTGTGCTCTCCTGGGGGTATCTACGCCTCCCTCATCTCTTTTCTCTTTGTTCAGTTCAACAGCGCCTCTTATTATCCATCCAATCACCTTTTCCTCTTCCTCCTATGTGCTCAAGTGGACAAGCATCCTGCATACACTCTACATGTACAGAACAAGAATCAGCTGTCCCCGTGTCAACCTACACCTTATTCATACGACATGCATAATCACATCTTTTAAAATCACAGAAATGATTTCATGAATAGTTGGGGGAACACTATGTAATATGTGTAACAATGTTCTGTATACATATGCCGAGTGTAAAGAGTTTTACACAGGAAATTAATATTGGATAATTTCCCCTCATTTAAATTCAAAGCGGGTGGAAAAAGGACTGGCATTAGATGACCAAATCTTGGGATACATTTTACATTTACAGCTTGAGCTTTTTTGCTTCGTTTCCAATACTCTGTGCCAGTGCCAGACCTGACATATACTAAACCTAAAGACTTGAGCCAATAGTGATGGTCAAATGCTTACAGAGCCACAGGGGCCCTTTCAAATGTCATTGCTGTTTGAAGCAGGACTTAAAAGAAAAACATATGAATTCATCACTTATTATAGGACAACTGTGACCATGAGCATAGCCTGTCCACTGTTCAACCCTTTATGGAGATTAAGCAACATCGGCTTCACAACCCAGATCACTTCAGTGAGAAGTGGAGAAGTGGAGCAGAACAGAGCAACAGAGTTTAGTTTTCAAACGGAATGAAGAGAGGTCACAAAACCTGCTTTTCTGCCTGAGCCAATACATCATTAGCATAGCAAACAGTCTAAAGAATATCCACTGACCTGTTCAGCTCTGTCGTATCCTGTGTCTTGTTTCTCTGCTTTGACTAGAGGGTGTTTTCCTCCTTCGACCTTCACCTCCCCAGGCTCCAGTTTAGGGATTTTATCCTTCTGGACTGTGTCGTCCTTGTCCAGCAGGTAGCGGAGGAGGGCATTGTCCTTCTTCTTTGGGCTCAGGGGCTCTTGTTTGGGTGTAAGTTCTCCTGCCGCTGCCGCACTGCCCTGTGGTTGGTCCGGACCGAGCTCTTTACCTGTGGCCTCTGCCGTAAGTTTGGCCAGGTCTACAGGAGAGGTGCTGTTCTGCAGAAGTTGGTGGAGAATCTTATGCTTTTCTTTGAGCGATGTGGCATGAGTGTTTCCCCCTGTGTGTACCCCCCTCATCCCTGATGGGTCTTTGCCCTCCCCTGGAGACAGAGGCGTCTCTAGAGGCTCGGGCTTTGTGGTCAAAAGTTGTAGAAGCTTGGTGTGGGCCTTGTTGTCGAGGAGCCGGCTGTGAGCGTCATGGCTGTCAGAAGAAAGGTCTCGCTCCTCCTTAGGGTCCGTTAGGCCACTCTCCGAGTGCCCTGTACCAGCCTCACCATAAACACCAAATGAGTCCCCAGCTCCTGTGGGCGTACCTCCTCCTGCCATTTTAGGCATCAGATGAGCGTTTGCTCCTGGCCCAGTTGTGACCCCTGCTGGTGAGCTTATCTTTCGGTCTGGCGAACCCAGTGTCCCGTGACCCACGCCGTGGCACTCACTGAGGGCCTGCAGGGCTGACAGTGAGCTGCTTGTGTAGCTGCTAGTGGTGCTACTACTACTAGTACTACAAGGCCCTCCAGCACACATGCCAACAGGAGAAGGTGAGTGCATGCCTCCAGCAACACGCGGGCTGCCAGCACCCCCAGGACTGCCCCGGTGCCTGGGTGATAGCATTGAGTTCTGTTGTGGAGGGTGAGGTCCTCCAGCTGGGCTGGGACTAGCCCGCGATGGGCTATTCATCCTCCAGTTAGTGCCCTGCTGAGGTACTTGCATGCCCCCCGTGTGGTTGTGTGGTGGGGGACAGCCAAAGCGGTAACCCTGCATGTGCCCCCCCATGGCGGCTGGTTCTCTTGGTCCGGCAGGGCCAGGAGGGGAGAAAGGCGTGCCATTACTGCTAATGGTAGTGTCTTGGCCCTGAGGCCCCAAGCCAGGTAGACTGCCCGGGGTTGGAGGAGTCATGCAGGGAGTAGATGAGTTCATTGGTTTAGGAGCCATTCCAGTGGCCTGATTACCAGGACCCATATCCTGTCCCATTCCACAAACGGCTTGTTCCCTTGAGAATAAAGACAAAAAGAAAAAAATATTTACACATATTTTTCAAATCAGCTTTTTGTGTTGTGCCCATAGAATGTGAATATTAACGGACGTACGGCCACTTTTGAGCCGGGACCCGCCCACACTGGTTGTGCCATCTACTGTGTGACCTGTATTGAGCATATATGTAAAGTGTCTTGGATTGGCATACCTCTGGAGAATGTGCAGAGACCTGTAGAGCTGAGGTTCATTAGTTGCAGGTGAGCGAACCAGCCTGCTCTTGGTATGGGCCGAAACAATAGTACCATCAGACAGAGAGAACCTATAAATTGGGCTAAAAGCTTGGCCATGACGAAGCACTGTGGATAGACCAAGACACCACAGTTACAACACATACAAAGGAGCCGGATGTTCCTTGTGTTTATACATTTGGTTGAACTAACAGCAGTCATTCCCTTTTACCTTCTTGCTGGTGTCTCTTGGCAAAGGACATCTCTCCATCATTTTGCAAATGGAACCTCTGAATGCAACGCCTCACAAGATCCTCCCAACCTGGCTTCATGGACGCTCGTAACTGACTGGTATCCAAGGAGGTTATCTTCCCTAAACATTAAAGAGAGCAGAGGGATTAGGGTCGTCTTACTTCAGCCTATGCAGTGATAACACAGACTTAGATTAAATTAACTAAGCTTTACCGTCAAGTAAATTTATTTATTTAATATGGACATGACAATAACATTGGACGCACCAGATGCATTGCTGTAAGTGTTATAGCACAGGTGCTAATTTTTAACACTACTATGAATGACACCGAAGGTAAACCTAGATTAATTTTTATGTCAGATATATTATCAGTGGTGAGGACCAGCAAGGACTTCTCTGCTGGGTCTAAGCATCATCAGAACAAATAATGTACATACTTTTCCACAAATAGGTATCTACATTTACTGTTGTATAAAACAATGATTTTATCTTTTTCAAGTCTACACTAGGCGCCTGCAGTCTTTATCCAGATTGTAGTAGGGGGCACCATGTTGTTTTTATCTTCATGGCCCGCCACAATATGAAAAAGATGAAAAAAGAATAGAGCTTTACATGTATATAAAAATAAACTTGAAATGTAAATCATATTTTAGTATTTTTTGTAAGAACCCAAGCGCAATGGGTATCCATGACCAGAGTTTAGGGTCTATAATTGTGTTCAGGTGGATCTGTTGCCACCCAAAGTGCAGACGGGTGAGACACAGCCATCGCTCCTCCAGGCCCACACTGATATAATAATGATTACATAGTTCCTCTCTGGTACTCTGTTATTATAGTGATGATTGTTTGGACTGCAGGGTAAAACATTTAAGAAACTATTCATTGAGATCTGACATACAGAGGGTTACGTTAAATTAAACATTGAATAAAAACGCATGTCACTGGGTTAATACAAATTCAAAACTATTATAAAATAGTGATGTCATAATGAAATCCTGGTTGAAACCTAATATATAGACTTGGCATAGTAAATGCCAGTGCTTAGAAAGCCAAATATTTAGATCCAATGATACTCCCAATGGAAAGCATGATCTCTGGTGGTACTTTGTGTGAAAGGTCTGAGGACCACTGGTCATGGTTGGGCTGTATTTGGCCTTGTACCTTGCAGGTCCTGGCGAGTGGTAAAGCTCTCATGTGTGGGCATGGGCCTTTCCTTCATTGGCACCCTGCGAGCTACACAGATCAGGCACGACTGGAAGTCTGGAGAAAGATAGAACACAAATGCACAGACAGGAGTAGGAAGAGAAGAGGGAGAAAAAAAGAAGGACAAGAGGGAAAAGAAAAGGAAATGTGTTATTCCCAAGCAACATAATTAATATAGTTATTAATGAGCATGGGGAGCAGAGCCGCTTCTTTTCTGAAGAGAACCAACCATCGACAGTGAGCAAAATGATGAAGTGTGACCTTTGGAAGTGTAGGATGTGGGAAATCTTCTCCATCAGGGTGGGGCTCATACAGAGCTATAGAACAGTGTTTTCCAAAATGTGGTACGTGTACCCGTGGTGATACTTAAGCTCATTCTGGTGGTACATGGGTTCCTCTACAAATTATTCATGATTCTGTTGCATTCAAACAAACATACTCAGCTTGGTACAGGCTTTTGCTGGAGAACCTTCCCTATGGTGCACCGAAGCACCTGAAGGAAACACAGACAGAGAATCTCCCTTGGCTCTTTCTTGTGGACTTATGTGGACAGGTATTGAACCAAAGACCTTTTAGCTGAGTGCAAACCACTGTGCCACCCAATAGATGAAGGAAACACGGTGTGGACTTTACTCTCACAAATGAAGTCGCCAGAACAGGAAAAACGTGTATTGGATGAGGTTTTGGACAGTGTATTTTGCAACAATGTGAGGCGTCAGAGTGGAGTGTGTCTTCCTACCATCTCCCTCCTCCTTGATGGATTTGGGCTCGGAGACGGCGAAGCACTGCATGGTCTCATATTTCTGCTGCTGCGACTCGTGCTCGTGCGCCTCGTCCTGACTCTCGCTGTGAGGGTTCACCAGCATCCGACAGTTGAATGTATGGCTGTTTCTTCTTGGACCATCGCTGGACCATGGGACACCGTTCACTATAAAGCAAAAATAAACCAGACATTAACACATGGCCACCTGCGGAGGTATTTGACAAATTAACTGCAGCCAAAACTTTCTAAACAAAAACAGAAAATATCGGGCAGTGAAAGTCATGCCGAGGGATACTAGCAAACAAGTGAAAGACATAATGAGAGCAACAAGAGGGAACGGAGGCGGAAAGAGTGAAAAAGGAGCCGTTGCTGGGTAAAGATCAGTCATAATGAGCAGTTGGAACCCTGCGCCCTCTGTCATCCGTCCACAGCCATGTATCACAGCCAGGCCTCCATATGCATGTCCTCTAAAGCACTAGCGCCAATCTCTCCCCTCAAACACTTCCATGAGGTGTGAGTGAACATGCATGTAACAACTAGTGCGCACAACCATACACACAAACACACACACACACACACACACATCTTTTCACCCGCGCAAACTCCCGCGACACTCCATCTGGTTGGTGAGCACATTCAGCGCATTGATAATCTCCAGTAACTGGGACACAGCCCACTGATCGTTTCCAGGGTACTTCGCTCTGTGCTGCTCTCTTACCCAGATGGCTGCCTGGGCACTCAGGCCGCAATCTAAAGCGCCAGGAGGAAACATGAAGGGGAGAAGGGACTTGGACCGAGCTTTGGGTGGTGCGGAGCGAGCGGCATGCTTGGAATCAGCTCGCTATGTAGTCAAGGGCGAATAACTGAAGCATGCCAAAACGTTGTGGTGGAGGTTCAAGTAGGGCACAAACACTCATTTTTCATATACAGTTAGCCAGATTTCTGAAATATACATGAATGTTAGGTTATATATTCTACTCAAGTCATAACATAATGATGAAAGAACATATGTAACATTGTTCAATTCTTATATTTGACCACATATTTCTTATGAACAATGGGCATTAGACTATGGTCTGCAATAGAATCCTCCGACTCACTCTCCTGAAAGCTTGCATTCAAAGTATTCGCTTCAGATCTTAGACGCTTATTCAGTTCTGCCCCTTTGAGTGCTTCCAATAGCTGGGTATAAACAGTCATTTTGCGCAAGTTGGATGCAAAAACAGAAGGAGGAAGGAAAATAGAATGAGGCTCAACTGAAAAGTGGATTTGAATTCTGACCTAGAGATTTGGGCAGAAGGTTCTTGATGAACTCTGCGTGGTCCCCGACGTGAAGCACGCTGTAGACGCTGGTGTTCATCAGCTCTTCCTGGTTGTAGCGCAAATACTGCGTGACGTTCTCTGACACAAACACAATGTTCCCCTCCATGTTGACAACAAAGAAGAAGCCATCCAGAGCCTACAGAAAAGGGATCACAAAAAAGGACAACGTATTTAAAAAAAAAAAGAATAAAAGAATGTATTTCCTAAAAAAAACTGAAATGTGATCAGGTAGGTTGGATTTACAACTTTCTTATAAAACGTATTCAAAATGTTGAGTGCTGTACTGAAGAGTATCATTTATAAGTAACCGTTGTTCTCAGTCCTGAATTTGCCTCTTATGAAGAAAATATTTGCAGTGATTTACATAATGTCTCAAAAAGAAAGTGCAGGGTACATTAAACACTGAACCATGAGACAAGATGTGTCATGAAAGTGTGTGCGTCTATTGAGATCATTAGGAAGCACAGGAAGGGATTGGGCAGGACATTGGGCAATAAATAAGAAAAAACATTTACATAATACTACTTATTTGCCTACTTTATATATTTGATGGAAAATTAAGTTTGGACACAAATTCTTACAAGAAAACACCCACATGTACAGTGGGGCAAAAAAGTATTTAGTCAGCCACCAATTGTGCAGTTCTCCCACTTAAAATAATGACAGAGGTCTGTAATTTTCATCATAGGTACACTTCAACTGTGAGAGACAGAATGTGAAAATCCGTGAATTCACATTGTAGGATTTGTAAAGAATGTATTTGTAAATTATGGTGGAAAATAAGTATTTGGTCAATAACAGAAATTCAACTCAATGGAAGGAGGTTTTGGCTCAAAATCTCATGATACATGGCCCCATTCATTCTTTCCTTAACACGGATCAGTCGTCCTGTCCCCTTAGCAGAAAAACAGCCCCAAAGCATGACGTTTCCACCCCCATGCTTCACAGTAGGTATGGTGTTCTTGGGATGCAACTCAGTATTCTTCTTCCTCCAAACACGACGAGTTGAGTTTATACCAAACAGTTCAACTTTGGTTTCATCTGACCACATGACATTCTCCCAATCCTCTGCTGTATCATCCATGTGCTCTCTGGCAAACTTCAGACGGGCCTGGACATGCACTGGCTTCAGCAGGGGGACACGTCTGGCACTGCAGGATTTGATTCCCTGTCGACGTAGTGTGTTACTGATGGTAACCTTTGTTACTTTGGTCCCAGCGCTCTGCAGGTCATTCACCAGGTCCCCCCGTGTGGTTCTGGGATTTTTGATCACCGTTCTCATGATCATTTTGACCCCACGGGATGAGATCTTGCGTGGAACCCCAGATTGAGGGAGATTATCAGTGGTTTAAATATCGTTTTGGACTACATTTGGGCTATCTTTTATACAGATAACGTGTTCAAACAGGAGCCATTAATACAGGTAACGAGTGGAGGACAGAAGAGCGTCTTAAAGAAGAAGTTACAGGTCTGTGAGAGCCAGAGATCTTCCTTGTTTGAAGGGACCAAATACTTATTTTCCACCATAATTTACAAATAAATTCTTTAAAAATCCTACAATGTGACTTCCTGGATTTTTTTCCTTCACATTCTGTCTTTCACAGTTGAAGTGTACCTATGATGAAAATTACAGACCACCGTCATTATTTTAAGTGGGAGAACTTGCACAATCGGTGGCTGACTAAATACTTTTTTGCCCCACTGTATATAGTGCTTTCCCACGGATCAATACCCTTTAACAAACCTGTTACCCATCCACGCAGTGATCACTGACTCAGACTTTAGTGCAGGTGCACGCGCCATGTTCCACTGCCCTCAGAGCACTGAGAGTCACAGTGCAGGTGCATGTGAGGAATCATCTGAACCAAGAACCTTCACAGCACCAAAGTCAGAGTCAGTGGAGGCCAGGCCTCACACACACATTCACAACAGTGTATGCAAGTGTGAGGTGGGTTAAATCAGTTGATAAGCATCAATGGTTGAGTGATCTTATGTGGAGAGCGTGATGTGATCGGCCAAGCTTCCACTCAGAGCACACGACGGGTCTACTGCCGCCTCCCTGGTGTGGACTGTGGAGGCCCTTGTGACGTCATTTTGGCAAATGAACAGAACCATTTGAAGGCACATTGCTGTAGGGTAGTGGGCAGCGTGGGTACACTTCCTGCCAGCAGCCTCTGTGCTCAGAGCATTCTACAGCGAGGCAAGACACTGGGCAGGGGAAGTGTCCTAGGCAGAGTGGGTGTGAATGACCAGTCGCAGTGTTTTGGAGCCCACTGACAGATGGGAAAACATGCAGCCTGCACTGAACTATATTTAGAGAGTTAGTATGTCGATTCAGTGACGCTGGACTGGGAGGGCTATAAATATTCAATGACAGGACAGATCTAGAAGCGAATGAGGAGACTATGGAGGATGGGAACATGGACAGAGAAGAGAGAGGGAGGGAGGAAAGCGAGCTCAATGGACTGATTCATCCGATGGGCTGTTGCTTTGGTTCTCATTATACGTAAGCACTTCAGTGGCCCTCCGTGGGACAACGAGGCCATTGCTCTTTCTGTGATTTACAGCCAATCCGGGACACATCCAAGATGCTGGCAGCTTTCACTCCAATCAGCTACACTTACGCACATTGCCACCAGTTCGCATCTGAGACCAAGCTCTGGATAGTGCTCTCCATTAGATATCCATTGTGCTAAGTACCATTGTCTTTAACTAAAGATGCCAGTTCTACATAAAGGCTGTGTATTCTTGTGGTCGTTAAAACACACCTGTGGCCACCATGACATATGATTCTCATTATAATGAAAATATACATTAATACACCGTATTTAGTTTGATACATTTTTTTTATAATCATAAAGTCAGTGGCAAACTCAAGAAATGCATGAAAATGTGTTTTTGTTATGATGATGTAATACATTTTGTATACTATTTATCATTCATAATATATACACTCCAGGGTAGTACAATACCTCCAGCATCATTGGTCCCAGGGCATCTTTGTCAATCACACTTTGGCCTGTTGACGAGACGTCAGCTTTCTGGACCTCCTCCTCATTTGCTGCAATCGCTTTCTCTGTAGAAAAAAAATAGTCACAGGGTTCAGAGAACTACCATCAGCTTCCTAGTTTCAACCTTTGTTTAAAAATGTTTTTGGAAAATTATTGTGTAACTGGCCAGTACTGCACATTTCCTGTGCACCATTGTCCATATTTCATACAACACAAACACCAAAAGGGGTGTGACTGTGTGACACACATTTTTAGACAAGAAAATAAGACTGGGTTTTTTCTCCAGTACAACACTAGACCAATACTTTGTGTTCAGAGTTAGTCCTCACTGACTGGGTTAATAATCACGCAGAGAAGCCTTATGTTGCAAGCGTAGGCTGCCCTACTTTTGGAGATGAGAAGCAGAAAATGAGTGGGCTGTTGGGGGACATTTAACCGTCACACCACGCCAAGAAGAGGACTGACCATATGGCCAGGAAATGTGTCAAAAAGCAAACTAAAAGTATAGGCTTTTTACAGAGTGTACACTTGCAGGAGCTGACACAAATGCAGGAGCAGAGCGCTGTGGTCAGTGCCACATCCATCTCCTTCAGCATTAATGATGTGCACAGCAGCAGGACATCTACAGCCCAGCAGGCCTGCAACACCAGCACAGCTGCTCCACTACAGCGCCATCACTCAGTGTCACCATGAGCTGCTATGTCCACTGCTCACAGACTAAACTACCAACAACCTGGGCATGGGGTAAACGTAAAGTCTTGCATACAATAACAATTTCTTTGATTTACATCCAAAGTCAAAGTCAAAAGCCATCCTCAGAATAATTGCTGTACAAAGAGAGGAGCGTATTCAGAGGCGCATAGGGAGTCAATGATAATGAGCAGAGGAAAGGAAGGGGGGGGGGGGGGTAATATGGGTAAACGAGTGGGAGGGTGGACCGCCGCAGCCACAGTTTGTGTGTCACTTTTGCATTACGATTACATAATGCTGCTGGACTGTGACTCACAAACACTGTGACGTCTCAAAGCAGGTGATTCATGAAGACCCAGGCTGACCCACACTATGTACCACCTAAGCAGTTTCATAAATGTTGCACAAGACTTGCACACCATTCATTAACTAGAGTATATGAAAGCTAGAAAGCCAAGGTGTACTGCTTTGAACAAAAAGGTAAAGACAGTCTCCCATAATTGCTTAATGGCACTAGAGGAGCTGCTCTCGTTTGAACGTATGCTCCTGATGTTCTGCTCTTAATGGAAGAGGTGGAACAGCAAAAACAACTGGGCTTTATAAATGTTATATGATAGAAGGAGCAATGCATCTGTGAACAACATTATTTAATGTAAATGCCAAGAAGTTATTAAAGCTGATGCTTGAGCCAGCCTCAAGTGATCTAAACCAATAGTCTGAGAAAACAGTAACACAAAACATACAAACTTTCACATACCCTGCTCCTTTATTTGTCGGATCTGCTTCACAGTTTCCTTCAGAATTGCACATTTGTCGGGTTTGACGTTAAAGTTGTCAATGTCGTTGAAATTGGCAAAAATCAGCTCGGCAAGCTCCTCAATGTACTTGTTCTCATGCTCGCGGTTGCGCTTCTCGTTGCTCCTCTTGGGACTACAGAGCCAAAGGATGAGATATTACACTCAGTGCAAGCAGACAACCAGGAAAAGTGAATATTATCATGTCTATTTTCAGTCAGTAACCCTCAAAATAATAATTTAAAGCGGTAATAAAAACACAACCTGAACCTTATATTTCTGGTTTATTTGTGTGTTTCTCTTAGTATGCTCCCCATAGAATGGAATACGGTACCTAATGACATCCAGTGTATACATTTTAGGAGTAAACTAATAAATGCCTGTATTATTATTTAAAACTCATTTGGTCAGACTGTCCTTTCAGACTTTTTGTCTATATGTGAGAATGACCTGTTAAAGAAGCTATACCCAATTTATTTTCTAATGAGTTCATAAAAATACGTATTACGACATACAAGTTGTATTAAAATCTGTAATTTAATTGAAAACTTGAGCTCATTGATTCAGCTGTGTATGAATTCAGGCTGTAAAAAGTGCTGAGTAGAGGCTTAGCGTGACGCTAGCGCTCCTCCAATCACAGAACGAGGAGCGGCGCTGTTACGAACAGGCTGCCTCCTCTAGCGTCTACAGCACAAGTAAACAAAGCAACATGTTAGCAAAAAGTGGCTATACTTCCTCTGGCTGTAACTGCATACACAGCAAAACAGCCCAAACGACGCAACAGTGACAAAGAGAAGAGGGAACTGAAACGAAAAAATGATCAAAGGAGAAATCAAGCCCGGGTGAATTTACGTAGCGTTAGCTTACATCATATCCTCTGGAGAGACCAGTGGGGGAGGGTCCCAGCTCAAAAGTGGCCAAAACGACGTGCGCTGACATGCTAGCAATACCACCCCGGGCCGATGGGGGTGGACCCAGAAGTAGAATTAGCCAATGCTAACATATAGCGTTGGCAGACCTCTCGAAAACGTCTTTACAGGATGGACCAAAAGTTGGCTCTTGGCCCAAAGCTCCGTTCCACATGTGTGTCAATGCTGAGGGGGGTGAATTTTTTTGGTCCACTCTAGTTTAGTGAACTTTTTAAGTCTCTCGTTCAAATGAATGGAGTTGCGCCGGCTGACGCATGTGCAGATGCGTTTTTTCACAATTTTCTTGTGGGCGGGACCACTCGCGGCTATTTTGGATAGCTCCAGTAGAGCACATTTTTTGGCCCATTAGTTAGAACGGTGGAGATAGGCGTGACTCTGTCCATTAATATTTACAGTCTATGGGAGAGACCTGCGGGAGAGGGGCCGCCTCGGACTATCTATGCTCGGACTACATGTGGACGCAAAACTAGCGGTAATCTTTCAGTTATATATTTTGTTAGCAGTGCGTTGCTTTTGTACCATTTCATCAGTGATTGTTGTACAGCTTACAAGAAGTAGCGCTAATGCTTATGTTTTTACACGTATCAGATTGCAAATAAAACTAGATGGCTTCTTGGGATGAGAGCGTAGGGGAAATGAGAAGCCTGTGAGCGAGTTGGGGGGAGCTGCTAAACATTCAACCTGAAAACAAACCTTGCAGAAACGGGTATAGCTCCTTTAAGCAGCTACATGAGCTACATGTACTTTTGTATGAAATGTTCAATACAAATAAAATGGTCTTTTTTGTGACGTTTTGTGTTGTTTATTATGTTATTTGGCCTAATATCTCCTACAGTATCGTGTTTTGTGTCATGTAACTGGTCAAATACAGTGGCATGAGAATAGCATCTTGTCTGAGAATGCCCCCCAGTGTAATGTACCTGTGTGTGTAGTGTATATTGCATGTGAAGCACTTCGACCCTGGTTTGTCCTGAAACCCTGTTCAAATCATCTGAAATGAAAGAAATTCAACCTGAAGTAAAGGCTTTACCTGGGTCCTAAAGGTTCGGTTGAACATTCTTTGCGTTTCCGTGGCTCTGCCCTCGCAGGGTCAGAGGAGTTTTCACCGACTCCACTCATTCTCAATGCATATCAGCGCCTGCAAAAAACACACACAAAAAACTCATTTAAAAGAAATCCCCTTGACATGTACTGAACTTTTTTCTGCTTACAGTGTATATAGCTTATAGAACTTGTAGAGCAGTGGCCGATGGCCGGACATGGAGACATGGGGACATGGGTAAAATGGGAATCCTTGATGCAAAACAATTTTGCATTTTATGTTTTGTTATCAATCTTGCAGTACGATAAAACTAGAAATGCGCAAATGGCACAATGATAACAAAGCATGAAGCTGGGGGCACAGGTTGATCCACTCCGGGAGAAAGCAGAAAATGGAGCGCGGAAACAGATTCAATCATATCTGTGTGATGGTGCAGCGGTCCCCAGAGACACTGAAATGAGAGCATGGCGTTCAGCCCACAGCACCAGACTGAGCTGAACATGTACCCAGAACAACTCCACGCAGCACCAAGCCCAGCCAGCATATGATGAAGGCGTCACAAACATTACACATACCTTCAACTACAACATGAAATCATACAACTGTTGTCGAAGAAAATCTGATATGATACGGTCTTAATTTTTCAATCTAGTTCAGGGAAGACGATTGTGCCACTAAATGAACAACAGCATGATCCGAACCATAATGGTCAAACTTAGAGTGAAACTTCGTCAGAAATGAAATCAAAAATTTCTTTTAGGAGATCTTCCAAAGGAACTGTATGCAGCATTATAAATTCAATGCAGAGAAGCACATTTCTGCTGTTTCATGCCTGACGACTGGTATCCTTAGCCACCGTGGAAGTTGGGAGATGGGGGAAGGGGTAGTGCTGATAACAAAGACAGATCTGGGTGAAAGAGGGTCGTGTAGTGCTAGGCTTGATCCACTTAAGCCATGGAAACCGCTATGACACACAACAACTCTGCCATTACATAAGTCGGAGCAGAGTACAGTGCAGCACAATGCAAAGGTGTGGTGGGGCATAGATTAGCAGGGGCGAGTTAGATTTGCAGAATTAAGACAGTGACCAGGAAAACTGCAAAGTGGGTTTCCATTGGCCTGGTGTGACCTACTTTGAGCTAATGGTGGGGTCTACTGTATACTGGTGCCGGCAAGCGAAGGAGGGGAAGGAGACTTGAGACCTTAATATTGTCACCATAATCTTGGTTTTGCCAAACGCCCTTGTATCATACCTCTTAAATGTCATTGGCATGTCTTAACGCACAGTACCAGGCATTAAAATGGCGCGTCTTCGGTTTTATGCTATTATTAACGACAGCCGAAACAGGCCATTAAACTCTTGGAGCTAAGTGCGCTCTCTGCTCCCATTGGTTATGCCCATTCTAGCCGACACAAGTTACCAGGGGAATTCTTCTGCCGATTGGCCATTGCGGTCCCTTTGGGCTTAATATGATTGGATGTCTGCCTCTCCTTGACATGGCAGTAATGAAGGGTCATTGTACATCGTGACAAATAAGACGCACAGGAAGTACAAAGCACGTCTCAATGACAGAGGCGGCCAGGCCATGCATCCGTCCAGAAGGCAGAGTGCCTTTGTTGCTAGGAAGTCCAAAATTCACACAGGCAGAAAGAGCAGAGGGGATTTTAATCCTAGAGAATGTGCTGGATCCCTGGGTAGCTATAAACAGCTGGGCAGGAGTTAGCACTTACTGGATGGAGGTGGGTTCACTGAGTTAATTATCTTGTTCCGCTCGAGGAGGGGGCACTAAACAGAACAGAAAATTCTATGCAAAGCTGTAGCATTGATACTGCAATTAAATGTAAAACGGCATGTCTAATCTTAAGCATGTAATAGAATTAAAATTGTCTAAGGTAATTAAAATTTAGACCAGGTGGTCATTTTTGAAATAAAATAAAGATAAGAAACTACATTGGTCAATTGATTACGCATTTGGCAAAGGTGCCAACGTCGCTTTAAACTTTGGTGCAAGTGAAGCAGACTGAATTGGAGCCTTGGAGTCTAGAGAGGCAGGAATGCAGTGACGACAAGGACCTGACGCTGCCCAGCACGTCGGTACAACATGTACAACAGCACCTCAAAGGCACAACCAATTACACCTGCAACTGAGCCTTGTGCGGGAAAGACATGATATTCAACTTTGAGGTGAACTAGAGAGGCGCATTTATGACCATGTGTAACAATGTTGAACCAATTAGGTGCAATGTGATGCCATCTACTGTGGAGGCAAACCAACGCCTGAGGAAATGATTAATAACTCTACAGGGTTCTGTTAAAGACTGCGTCCAAAAATGTGATCTTGATTAGCCACATTATTAAATGCATTGCATTCAAATAAGATAATGTTGCCTGTGTAATTATTGCATTTAAAGAAAAACAAATGTATACATTGAAAAACCAGCTTGTCTAGCTCTACTTTTATGTTGTGAACAATTATCCAACGCAGACCAATTAGCCAGTGCAACACATAATTTGATTTTAAATGAATCCAAACCATAGTATTTAGCGCCATAGGGAATGGGAATAGGAAAGTGCTCATGGGAGGTGTGTCAAGTTTTTTTATTCTTCTTCTGAGATAAGCCATACGCTATGGGAGATCAGCACTCAGTATATCCATGGCCAATGATAAGAACATATCAGGAGCTTTGAGTTGAAATTGTAAATATTAATAATAATAGCAGGCAAAGTATAGTTTACCTGTGCATAATGTTTGTGCTGCTCTGTTACCATAAGGCGGGGGAGGGCATCAGGACAATCGCGACCTATCGGTAGATCTCTGGTCAATTTAGTCGATTAACCTGTATTAAACCGGTCACTCACTCATGAGCCCCTTTCCCTTTGGTTGTCAGTGTGCAAACATGTTCAGCCATAAAAATGTACAGGGTTCATCTTTCAAAGATACAAGAAAAAGAAAACGCAATATTGCCAAGAACTGCGATTTTCAGTCCAGTGGCCTTCATTATCTAGGTGTTAAGGTAATAGAAATTGGGACAAACGTTTGAGTCCAATCTGAGCATGGGAAGGAAGTGTAATCCAGGGGCTGCATTCCTCTCCCCATGGGCTTCCAGAGCTGCTGAATCATCCACTACAGTCGGACTTACAGTAGGGGAGGTAATGCGTCTAATTGCTGTGGGGAGGGGGCATGTGCCAAGCTGTGCTCCTGTAATCATGCGAGGAGCAGGGCCTTGATTATAGAGTCACGCCCAACACTCTGGAGTTCAGGAGCAATGCAGGGCCTGACAGTGCGCACAGGAGTATCATCATCAAGTGTCCTGCACTGTAATGAGGAGGGATCTTCCACAGTGCGCCAAACCGCCATGAACAATGATGCGGGGCACAAATGCCCCGAGAAACAGTCTCTTTGTGAATGAGGTTCACTTCAAAAACAGAAGGAAAAAAAAGATTGTTTATGTCACATTAACTCTTATCTATGATTCATATTTAAAGGCTCACAGAAACTATTATTCAACAACAAATAACTACACGTCATGGAATTTTTGTAAGAACAACGCAGTGGGTAGAGATACATTCTGAACTATGAATTTGCATTTGCAATTATTCAAACGTACAAAAATAGTACAAAAAGAAAATAGTAAAAGAACAATAGTGATTAACCCAATGATACGTGTGAGTCATATCTTTTCATTTCGAAAGTTTAATTTGATAGAGTGATTATGGATCTGAATAGATTATGAATTGATGATTTCACCGGCTTGATTAAAGTGTTAATTAGTATAATCTGCATGTTTATTGCCACAAAGGCCATAACTACAATTATTGTGAAGGGAAGGATAAAAAGACAAACATTGTATTTAGATAAAACAACGATAAGCTAAAGGGACAAAAAGAGTAGAGGCAACACATACAGTACAATGAGAAAACAGTAAGAATCTGGACACAACATGCATACATCTACATTTCACCAATTTAATAACATGTGTCTATAAAAATCACCCGAAAAATGTACAGCTCAGTGCTTATAAAGAAAATGAACACCCAAAAAATTATTAAAATATTTTATCCAATCATATATCCCACCATTAGCCATAATAAAAACGTATCATCTGTCCTTGGTTCAAGAAAAGCCACAGCTCCCTAGTTCCACATTCTCAAACTTGATAAGACTGAGAAATCTACGGCCCCTTTCAACAGCAACACTCTCCCTGCAACAAACAAACAAATCCTCCGAGCTGGAAGGAAGTATCAATAATGCACTGGACAATGAAGTTTTGAGTCTCATAAACAGGAATAACATTGTCAGGAAGTCATGGCTACGACGCAATCTTTAAACAATAAATACTAGATATATCCGCTTCATCAAAGAAAGCACATAACATCTCTCGAGGAATCAAAGTCTGCTACAAACTGGTTTCCCTGAAGATGCCGGACTATATACAATAATGTGGAATATTCCAGCCAAACGTGATGGAAAGGCTGGTTATATAGTCAATTATGGCCAATGGGGTCTTAATGAACCGATTATTATGGATTACAACAGAAATGAGAAGATAAAATATGCATAGTACTTTTACTTTTGCATTTTCTTGTCCTTGTTCTCTGTAGCTGTGTGTTTGGGTTAGTCACATAGAACGTTTGACAGCTTTTGCCTCGGCTTCTCTTTAGTCAACCAATAAATTGTGTAACAGGACTAAAAATATTTGAAATTGCATTGTAACATGTGGTGCTTTGTCGTGTCCACAATCAAAATAAATAAATACAAAATGCATGTTTTTAAGTCAATCTGGTGAACTACAGCCCTACCTAATAGTACCTCATGAGTAATGGACCAGAACTGATGGAGAGGACGCTGACTGATGAGCTCAAGTGTAGCTGTAGCTCTGAACTAAACTGGATGAAATCAAACATTTCTGCATTAGTGTCAAGCACCCTTCCTATGTCGCCTTTAAAACCACTCGCCCAAGCTCCAATCACTGCAGCGAAATGGCTCCGAAGCAAGACCCTCATTTACTGAAAGCTGATCAGCCTCATGAATCTTTAACACGGCCAGTCACTTTGGGATGTGGCCCTGGATCTCAAACAGAAACGGGGAGCAGAGCTGGAAGCAAAGACCTAGAGTCTAGGGATTGTAAAATTGATTAACTGATATAAATAAGTGTCTTTTCACAACAGCCGGCTCACCCATTTGTCTGTGGTCCAGGGCAATGCCAAAGGCGACTCGGATGTCGCTGAGGAAACATGACTTTTAAGTTCAACACGGTATCTACTAAAGAAAACCTCCTCCGCAAAAGAAGCCACAACAACGTGTATCTTTAATGCAATGTATAGCAATGTTGCCAAAGACACTTTAGCATTTTAGTTTAGTCTGTGTGGTCATCATAAAACGTTTGTGAGCAACATAACTCAAAAAGTGAAGAGAGGAATTGGACCCACATCTCAGGAAACGTGCGTAACGGCGCAGTGCAGAGGATTCGATTCACTCGTCAGTCGAAGTGCTTTCTAGTCATTATTACATCCTCCTCCCACTATTACTCTCATTAAACGCGGTAGTACTTCTTGGTAGTACCGTGAACCGTTGTTTTTGTCCCCTTTTTATCTCAGCTCAGGAGGTAGTTGTGAGTCGTTTAGGTTAGACAAATAAAACATTTGACAGCTTTTGCCTCGCCTTATTTTGAGTCAACCAATAAATAATTGTATTAGTATATTCATATTTTATTAGTATAAATAAATCCGCTGGGCATGTCTTTCGATGTAAAGGGATCACTGGCATCCTGCACAGAGGTCATGTATAGTTAGTTTTATAATTTCTCTATTTTAAAAGGGCCCATATTACGCTTTTTGACTTTTCTCTGGTTTTAAAAACATGATTACAGAGCTATTTGGCCTTCATACACATGCCCAGAGAAGTTTTTTCATTGATTCCGTCAAGCTTTAGTAGCTTTAGTAGACGGAATCTAGAGTTAGAGTTTCTCTTTCATTCTCGAGGGGCACAGAAACGAGCCAATTCAAATCGTGACGTGGCACAATCCGTGACGTCAAAAGCGTCACTGATTGACAGCGGGGAGAAACTGAACCAGCGAATCAGCGCCTTCTATGCAGCCTCTCAGCGTGTGGTCCAAAGACAGTCAAAAAGCGTCTGTGCTTTTTGTGTTAGCTTCATGTCAACTTGTCAAAATGTGTTGTTGGTGTAAATATACGACGAGAGTATTCGGCCAAAGACGGAGAATGGGGATCGACTTTGTGCACAGGGATCTGCCGCGTATACGTGCAAGTCTGAAATCTGCGACGAAACTCGCAGATCTTTTTTTGCTAAAGACTGTTCCAGAGCTACAGTTACCTTGAAACGGGACCTACTCCAAAGCTGATCTGGAAATACGTGTTATTTCCAACATAAAAGACACTAACAAGAGCCTCGGTCTGTGAGTACAATGCAACTAACTCACCGTGTGTCACTATGAACTAAATAATTAGGGTCTGATTCTGGATCGAGGACATGGGGCTCTATGTGACGGGGTGCCATTGTTGGAAAACGTTTATTCTCAGGTGTGAAATGACTAGCAGCGAAAGCTGTACAGTTAGCTCTTGTTTACCTCGGAACTTAGCGTGATCCTACGTCACCGTGCGGGCGGGGGGAGGTGGTCTCACAGGCAGAGGAGCACAGATCCAAGTGTTTCACATGAGGTCTTATCAGCTCTATATACGAAATGGCTATAATTTGACGTGTTTGAGTGTTGTATGGTGTATCACCAATATTATTATCACACATGTGCATATGTGTGCATATGTGTGACTGTGGAAAATAAAGAAAAGCGAAATATGGCACCTTTAATGTCCTTGTTGTATGTGTTATTATTATTAGTAGTATGTGTTGTTCTGTCTTGTCTGTACTCTTATCTGCGTTGTCTGCGTTTCCTGCGTTGTGCTGTGAATACCAATTGTGAGTTTGTATTTTTTGTGTAATATTGAAAATATACATAAAGCGTTTCTTCATGGACTTCACTGTATTGAATCGTTTCAGAAATTATCTAACAAGCATGTGGCCCTCACCTTGGTCTAGTCCAAAGAGTCCCTCAGGCCATTGCAGCAGGACGATAACGCTACGGAAGCTTTCAGCATTGTTCACTTCTCCCTGCTGGAGAAAAAGAAAAACACAATCAGCCAATAGCACAAACATTACGTTAGAAAGTAAACACATATTTTACTAATGTTTGCCGATCCAAGAGGGCATGAAACTCACTCTTTTCAAACACGTTGCAGACTTGGAAAAGCTAACACAAACATCCTCAAGCACATCTTATCTGCCGGAGTGGAGTTAGCATGAGGCCGACAGTCCGCTTATCTCCTCTGGGACCTTCAAGCTTATTACACTGTTCAACAATGTGTCTTTTTAATCTGGCCACAAAATTAATTAGACCATTAAATTTAAAAAAGTAAAATTCAAACCCTATTCCCTTTTGGAGAGTTGAGTAAAGAAAGCAATGAAAGTCCCTGTTAGGCCAGGAGTGAGCAGGGATGATTTCCTCTTGAAATACCTGCCAAGGTTAAGGAATGCAGCGCTCACCAGACGTCATTGCGTGCTGACATGACTGTGGGGTAAACAGATTCCGAAATCTGCAAAGCATCGCAGCCTACCACAAGCAAATGAACGTGTATAGATTTCCTTATTCACAGCCAATATTTCCAGTTATACCACAATCGCTCAATTAACCATATGACACTATAAGAATTTAAACTCTAAGAAATACACTACCGAATAGGGCTGGGCGATATGGCAAAAAAGAAAAATCACAATTTTATTTCCATTTTATATCAATTTTCATCAAAGTCACCAAAGACGGACTTTGCCCTTAAAAATATTTTGTGATCTTTCCGCACAACATTCAAGTCTCAAAACTATTTTTAATTTGTTTCCCCCAATACGTGTTATAAAAGTCTTGTTCAGTCTGTGCTGATATTGCAAGTATAATTCATGTGCTGCTGGAACTCTCACAATATCCTTCATTCGATTTCACAATTTTCACATTATTCACAAATTCGATTTTTTCAAAAGCCGATTAATTGCCTACATTAGATTTATTACCCAGCCCTACTACGGAAACAAATAATCAGCTTTAAATATTTCAGGACACTTCTTCTATTTTGAACTCTATAGATACCCGTTACTCAATTCTCAAAATTACACCACAACAGACCACACCACACCACAACACACAGAAACAACTGATGACGCTATGCAGTTGTATCCACATGGTTCTCATTTTCATCCTCACTTGCACAAAGGCAAAAACAACAGCCTGAAGTTTCCCTATGATGTTAATGTTATGTAAAAGCCAAAGCTGGGGTACCGAAATTGTAAAAAAAAAAAATCTATTGGCTCTACCACTAGTTTTCACGTGGATGTATTTTTGGTATTTTTAAATCACATCTTTTTAGGCCTTTTCTGACAGAAAAGAGAAAAAGAGGAGCACCCTGACTGAGCCAATCAGCACTCAGCCCTCAAGAGCTCATTCTAGTAAGATAGGCATGTTGAGGTCTGATTTGATCAACATTTTTTAACAAGACTTTTTTTGAAGAAGAAGGTCCTTTATTTGTCGAACGGGACAATGTATTTTATATTGAAAAAAGTTAGGTGCCCCATCCACAAAGTATCTGCATTTACACAACACTACGTCATTGTAAACGAGAAGGTATTAAATGCGTGAAACACAATGTCTTCTTCCTTCCTCTTCCACTTGGCATTTAGTTCTCATCATAGGAGGAATTTCCCCGCGGAGGCAGCGCTGTCACATGCTCGTGCTCAGTCCAGCCCTTGATCTGTGACTGACTGACAGGTGCAGAACTGAGGAAAAAAACAACTTAATGAACTAGTTAAAGACTAATTATTGTCACAAGACGAGACATGACAGTGAGGTGGACAAAACTGTTTCAGCATTGTCGAAGAACAAAAATGGAAATCAAAACCTCCACTGATTTTCAGATCGCCTCACACTGTAGACTTTTATAAATCACTGCTGCAACTGCGATCCAATAGTGCGCCTTCAATTTTGACCAAGACTCAATAAGCCAGCGGTGCCGCACAGCTGTTCACGAGAAACAAAACAAGTTCATTTTGAGTTTGAAGATTGTTGATGCAGTGTGTGACAAAATACAAAACAACTACCTGGATCTAGTAATTACACCAGATCCAGTCCTTCTTTGTGGACACGTGGTCATTATGAATCAACTAAAGTCAATTAAATTGTCCAATCATAAAGTTCCAATGAAATAATTTGCTGGTTGTCTATTCAATATCTGAAATATATCTTAACAGGGTAAAATTGTAAATAATTGCATTTGTTCATAATATAGTCTGATCAGTGTTTTTTATTTGTTGATCACAGGTAATTAATACAGATACGATTGTTCAGAGCAATGCTGATTAATATTTTATAAAACAGACAGGATATTATGTTGCCTTTAAAAGAAAAAAAGTCTATTTTGATTGTCTGAAATAATACAATCCTGTTTAACAAAAAAAAAATAACCTCCACATCCACAAATTAACCAACTTTCTTGATCCTTATAGGCTGCTTAAATATACATTTCATTTTTTTGTCATATTTTTGCAACGCGCACAGAATTGCAACTACCATTGTCAAATTGCCACTTTGATTTGATTGCAATTAATCTGGCATCCATACTCAAGACCCATACATGATTTCAACTTACTACCATCTAATCCACAGCCCTGTTTTACTAAAGAATAAGATAAATGTAAATAAGAAAAACCATTACATATTTTCTTTTAGTCACTGATTGGCCCAATAAAATGATTAGAACAGAAGCAACACCAACATGCTTAAATCCAACTACTGTATAAACACGTTACATAATCATCACTATAGTTGCCAATACCACTGTCAGCTGAGGTATTCGTCTACTTATCTACCTGGCTGCCATTTCTGAAGTGAGACTCAAAGTTAAATCAGTTATCAGTGTGAAAAATGACTCATGCTTCACACAGCAACATACTGTCTGAACCTCCCACAATGAAAATTTATATTGACTATTTGATAACAAGAACCGAAGCAGATTGTTGTTGAATCTCACTAAAAGTCTACACTGACTGGGCTCCATCTGCTGCAGGGAAGGAGCACAAGGTCACGGAGCCGCAGGTGAAGAGTTCAAGCTCCCCTTAAACATGAAATAATAATCATTCTTATAACTAGAATGAACACAACTCCTAGTGATGAGCGAACAAAGCTCTGATGAGTCTAGACCAGTGTTTCTCAAACTTTTACAGGCCAAGGACTAAAAATGAAATTTAATAAAAGGTAATACCCAGAGGTCAGAAGTCACATCCACGATCCTAATGCTTTCAAACCACTCCAGCAGAGAGAGCAGCGGTAGTTTCCACATACCCAATGTTTTGAATATAAAGTTTCAGTCCGAAACAGTTTAAGATGATGTTGCATGGTCCTTCTTCTATAAAAGGCAGCAACGCTTGAGGAGTGAGGCAGGTTATTATCATATCGCAATTTTTATTGCTGCCATGATGATTGACAGATTGAACGCTGTTGCTTATGTAATTTTCTGTTGTCCACAGAGTATCACTGGTATTACTGGTCAGACTCACTGGTCACTGGTATCACTGGTCTTTTAACATTCTATGAAATGCATTGGATTCTTAGTACAACAGTTCCCTTCTTGTTTCAGTCTTTGAAATGAGAATGTTTTGGACATCCCACAGGTGACTGTGACAATGCCAAAAGTTGCACTAATCAGGTTGACATAGGACAAAAGGCCACAAACATGTACTAGAAATTGACTATAATGGGCAGGTCACAGTGAGGTTAAACACCAGTGGAGCTCATATTGGGTTCTTTTTGAAGGGCCCCGCTAATGGCCCCAAACTCAATAAGAATTAGGGCTGATGGGTGCCCTAATGAAAACGCCTCGGCTCCTCCGTTGTTTGGATGAGACTTTTGTCAAAATCAATTACAGACAAATTAGGTTTAATTTAACACAGTGAAGGGGCAGTGGGATGAGTAAACGTAATACTGGTGAACAAAGCTCATACAAAGTTGAAACACAAACACAAATTGAATGTAGTTGTACTGGACTGTGACTATTGCAAATAGGAATGTGACGATTTTCTCGAGCCCTGATTTGATTTTAAGTTCCTGTTAATAATAATAATAATTAGGGGTGCAACGGTTTGAAAAAATCACGGTTCGGTTCGTACCTCGGTTCAGAGGCCACGGTTCGGTTCATTTTTCGGTTCATTTTTCCAAAAAAAAAGTGTTGTCTTTTTAATAAACACAGCTCATGTGGACTCGGCACCTGCTCTGACTGCCCCCCCCTGACCTAGAAATGAATTAAGGAGAAGGAAATGGATGGATGGATGGATGGCATATTCCATCCATCCAATTATGTCTATTTAACATAATTAATGAAAAACAACAAAAAGTGCAACATAAGAAGGCACTTTATGAGGATATTTACCCTCATATATTACACCACCTGATTCTCCCGAGGAGGCGCTCCATCCTGGGCCCAGCCTCATTCACTGCATTTATTTAATTTTTGGCATTATCAGTTGTGACTGGGATATTAGTACTGGGCCTTTGTCTTCCATTCCTCTGCTGCTGTGTCAGTACCTGCGCTGTGTCAGTACCTGTGCTGTGTCAGTACCTGTGCTGTGTCAGTACCTGTGCTGTGTCAGTACCTGTGCTGTGTGTCAGTACCTGTGCTGTGTGTCAGTACCTGTGCTGTGTGTCAGTACCTGTGCTGTGTGTCAGTACCTGTGCTGTGTGTCAGTACCTGTGCTGTGTGTCAGTACCTGTGCTGTGTGTCAGTACCTGTGCTGTGTGCCAGTACCTGAGCTGTGTGTCAGTACCTGTGCTGTGTGTCAGTACCTGTGCTGTGTGCCTGTACCTGTGCTGTGTGTCAGTACCTGTGCTGTGTGTCAGTACCTGAGCTGTGTGTCAGTACCTGTGCTGTGTGTCAGTACCTGTGCTGTGTGCCTGTACCTGTGCTGTGTGTCAGTACCTGTGATGTGTGTCAGTACCTGTGCTGTGTGTCAGTACCTGTGCTGTGTGCCTGTACCTGTGCTGTGTGTCAGTACCTGTGCTGTGTGTCAGTACCTGTGCT